GCGCGACTACATAGTCGGACAGCGGCGGACGACACGTGTACCACGATTGTCGAGAACGATTGCGAATGGCCAAGCACATGGAATATTTTTGGCACGTTCCGTTCCCGTGCAAAGCTCTGGCTGGGTAATCCGTCTTCTGCTAGTCTGCACCTGCATCGGTTCTCCGTCTTCGTGGACAACATTCGCCCGGAAAAATACTGTGATTGATACACGTAGATAATAACTCCGCTTCTATTTTCATTTCACCTCCGTTTTCTCAGTTCATCTGTGAATAATTCTGGTATTATTATCTTTACGAATTTCAAAAACTAATTGTCGCTCTTTCTTCCAAAAATGTCAAAGACAATTTTGTTCGAGATTGGAGTAAGTCTCGGGAGATAATAACTCCTCTTCTATTTTCATTTCACCTCCGTTTTCTCAGTTCATCTGTGAATGATTCTCATATTATCATCTTTAACGATTTGGAAAACCGAATGTCGCTCTTTCTCCCAATAATTCCAAAGATGACTCTTCTGTCTTAAATCGGACGAGACTGCAGAAAAAATATTTTGAGAACGGGTCACGGGAAACATAACGTCGAACAGTTCGCCATTAATTTACGAGCGGCGCGTGCTATTCCCGATAAACCCGCGGCGCGGAACCGCTCCAAGTTCTCGAACGCCTTTTCCAAACGATGAAGAGATTTATTGGATGGAATTAATGCCCCTAGCGATCGCTCCTTTATACCACAATGTTATCAGTCGCTTTCACACCCGTGGCTCGGATAATTGTACCGAACAATTCAGCTTAAAATATGGCCGGAGTGCTTCTGCTAAATAAGGTGCAAACTGTCCATCGTAAATTACTACGGCGACTGTCCCAGATACCGCTGGACTGCGCCGATTAATTGGACCGGCTCTGGACTGGGTTAGGTTCTTCTAATCCCACGGGGTACGTAAATCATTAATAATAGCTGTGAACTCGTCGATTATGTTTTTTTCCAATGGCAACTTGCGGCGCAACGCGTTCGCGAACGAAGCAGTGAAACCGAGTTACAGTTACGGGCGACAGAGATTTGTCGAATTTGATTCGTACGGATTAGAACTGGTTTCTCTCGGCTTTGAATTAAAAATTGCTGCAACGAATCATTTACGATTCCGAGTGTACTTCGACCTCCTTTTAATTTCTAGAACCGCGATTAATTAATGTTCCTCGAGTTAATCGCGCGACGGTTGCAGGAAGCAAGTCCGAAACCAAACGTAGCAAATGGGACGTGAGAATGCACCAGTCGTCCCATTCGGGGAGCATTAGCCATTAGCTAATGGCGGCCGCATGAATCTCTCTCGTTTGACAACGCGACCGAGCTTCCACGTTTATTTACTCGTGTCTCGCGCCATCCCGCGGCGGGTCGGCTTTCTCTCCTATTTTCTCTTTGTCGTGGCCATCAAAGCGCGCAGGGGAACGCAAATGCATTTAGGGATGGCGCGGTCTACCTGTTTACGCCCAAGATCTGTTCAAATTTGTACTGAACGGGACTCCATTTTCGGAGGAGTACGCAATATGTTCATTTTCCAGTGTATCCCTCCCATAAAATAGTTTAGAAACGTGTAAATATCGAATTAATTTACGTCTGATTGACAGTGTATAATATTTGTCACAATCCAATTACGAATATTTATGCAAAGACACGTGTTTACGAATACCGATGATGGATTGAGACTCAAGGAAAAGTACGTCTCATCTTCTAAGCAGTGTAACAGTGTACTTCATAGTTGATATTTTATATAATTTTATAGTAATCAGATATTCAATCTATTCGATCGAGTAGAATGTTATCAACTTGCTAAAGTCTTACACTTGAACCTACTCGTTTACATCCTACAACAACTTCGATCAATAAATGTCCGTAATAAATCCCGACTAAGGATAGGAGACGAAACGAAAACGAACGTTTTCATTAGAAGAATATGAATTGCGCCTTGATACCTTCACCACGAATATATCTTGATTATTATTTCTATATCCACGCCGCGGCGGATGGATCGTGGCAGATGGCCCACGTGATGTCATACTCAGAAATCGAACTTCGGCTCGAAGCGTCGATATTTCGAGAATCGTCGCTGGATCGTCCTCGACAGCCTTATTTGTCCATTCCGTTATCGTCACTCTGGAAAAGGCAACGAGAATTCAGTAAAAATTAAGATAACGATCACTTTTATCAAATTAAAGTTCTCCTTTCGATTCAGAAAATTTCGTACGAAGCGATGCAACGAATCGGGAGGAACTGGATGTTGATCGAACCGGAGAGTTGTTTGCGCGAGGTTCGATTCGACGATGTTGGAAGCGTCGAGGAACGGGGCACGTGACGTGTCCGAAAAAAGAAGCGGGAACGGAACTGGCAGCGAGAGACAATAAACTCGATCGACTTCCGTCGAGTGTGCTCTTAGGACAATCAGTCATTTGTGGCCCGCGAACGCGGTTCGAGGATGTTTAAAGACGAGGCAAAAGAGACCAACGCCGAGGGAGACCAAGATGGGAATTAAAGGTCTCGCTCGCGCGATCCTCGGGGGAAGTCCCGGAAATCGTGGGCGAAACGGAATTCGCCCCGATTGGACGATACGCGGGAGCTTCTTCGCTGCTGTTATTACGGAAAACGGCGAGTCGTTGGTTCTGGGACGGCTGCCATAGATTTTTAACCAGCTCGTCCCCGTTCGACAAATTTTCGCGAGATTGCCAACGTCTTCGAGGAACAAAAGGCGCTCTGTGAGGAGGCAATTAGGGTTACCAAGAGGAAACGCGACTGACGTTACCAACGGACCAATTTGTTACGCTAAATATACAAAATTCGCGGGCTGGCTGCAAGTTGCAGGTGTGAGGGATTTATTTATCCCAGAGTAAAGAGGTTGAAAATAATTGGAACTAAACTCACTCGATGAACTGTTACAAATTATATTATGTATAATTTGATTCTACGTGAAAAATTGTCATATGAAAAAAATTGTTATTCTACAAAAATTGTTATTCTACAAAGTCTGCATGACTAAAATTTTCTCTCGAGCAAATTACAAACTCTGGAACCTAACGTTTGACGTATTACTTATTCTTGTATTCTCGTCAAAATTGATGAATTCTATCCAGGTTTGTTTTCATCGACACTCGGCTCTTAAAATTAATCGTTGCAGCCAGTATGTACGTTGAAACCAGCTTACAGAGAGTCCAAAGTAAAATTTGATTTGTAGCTTCCATTGAGAAAACTGCTCTTCAAGAGCGGAACGCTTTATCATGCGAAGATCCGTCCGTCGAAACGGTCACTCTTTTCCCTATTAACCGGTACAATGGCACACCTCCAGGAGGCACAGTATGAGCTCCTCCGCTTTCGATAATATCAGAATATCAAAACAACCCGAAAGGAAGCGTTCGAAGCCGTAATCACGGCTCGAGTCGTAAGGAGACGAGAGGAGACATCCTCTCTACGGACCTCTAAATTTAGTCAGACGCATTCTGACGACGGGGAAGAGGCGAATCGACCTAGGAAGGGGACTCAAGACGATTCCAGATGGAACGTCGGAAGGGACAGTGTCGCTATGCGTTTCTGGCCGGCGTCCAATCCGCGACACCTACCGAGCGGTCTTCATGAATGGACGGAAAACGAGTTTCCTCGGTCAGAGGGACGCGATTTTCGCGAAAAGGGGAGTACCGTGCGACGCGTTCGCAGACGGAGCCAAGTTTCGTGCTTTCCTTTTCGCTGGATCGAATGCCTCGGTGCTCAAGGTCGAGCAGCGATCGCTCAATCGCGCCGCTTCGCGAGAAACGATTCGAGTCCCCCGCTCTCGAGCTGTTTTGATAAACTGGAAGCGATTAGAGCTTCGAGGTTTTCTTTGGTGGAAGGATAAAATTATCGAGCGGATTCGTCCGGTCGCGTTAAGTCTTTCGATGAGCTTGCGCGCGGACATCTGGTCGTTGTTTTTGTTTCACGCTTTTAACCGAATGAAACGAACGCCCATGGGCGTTCGTCGCACGTGTCGCGTTTGTTCGATTGGAAATATAAATTTGAAACGGATGGAGCTGGAAACGAGGCTCGAACTTTTGTGCGAACATCGTTTACGTGACTGATTGCTGAAGCATTTCATCGGTACGCTCGCAATTGGCAATTCGAGTATTCGATTATGTGTGAAAATATTCGCGTGATGATATCGATGTGCGATGTTTGAGTAGCATTATCGTTCGTACAATAATATTGACGATTTATTTTCTACAGACTGGCTTTCCCACTTATCGTTTACCACTGACGCAGAACAATAATATACTACGCGCTTCCTGAACACAGGCTTTACGAAGATAAATCGTAACAGCCCCGCCGCTTGGCAAGTGTCTGCATCTTCTAATTCGATTCTTCCGCGAATCATGGTTACGATACCGCTCGCGAGATTGCGCAAAGGAAATGCGTGGTGCGATTCAATTTTTCGAGCGTCGAGGTTCGATTAAAGCCCTGGCACTCTTCGATTAAGTTGATACTCCAGTATTTCTCTGTTGGGTCCTCGAGTGCTGTGGAACTTCAAATATTATTACCATTATTAATATTCCTGGGCTCGGTTTCGTTTTCTTTTCGCAACAGCAACGAATCTCTGCAAGATAAAATAAGATCGACATCGTTGTTATTATTCGTTATTTAAGATTCAGTATTTAGATCTTATTATATAAATAATATCACTTCTTCTGGAATTCACTACGTGAATCGACAACGTTTCTACGGTAAAAAACAAAAAGGGAATAAGAAAGAAGATTAGGTGCGCCGAGTAGACGGCAGCACTGGTCGACGATCCGGTCAGAGCCATCTCGGGAAATATCCTCGACACTTCTTGACCTCGGTATTCCTTTTTCTTTAAAAGAGTAACAAATGTTCGCGAGATCAAATAAAATTGACATAAAAGAGCCCCTGAAGTAAATTGTTTCGTCTTTTTATCACTTGAAGGAAACACGGTTCCTGTCGCCATATAAAACGTCCCTAATTTCTGTCACAGATCTGAATCATCCCGACGTCGTGGTGGTGCCGGTCGGTGAGAAGCTCACCTTGCGATGCTCGTCAAACTCCAACGGAGATACGACCTGGTACAAGGACGACGAAATATTCCGGCCGTCAACGCCCAGAATACGGCTGATGAAGCAGTCCCTGAGGTTCAAGTACGTCGCACCCGAAGACGCGAGCCTGTACGGTTGTCGCGTCGAATCGAACACGACCATAGAATGGAGGAACGTGACGATACGAATCGACTCGTTGCAAAACGACGGCTACCAGCACGAGGTCGACAAACTGGGAAGTACCCTCGGTGCTCATCGAGCCGAGGAAGAAACGAACGAACTGGAAATCGAAGCCAGAAGTCAGTATCCCTATGATTTAACGCTAAAACTACTGCAATTAATCGAATACCTATTTTCAAATTTTTGTATGCTCTTCTTACAAGAAATGTATGGATTACATACACGTGTTTCATGCGCTATTCAATTTAATTCCACGTGAAATATGGAAATGATGGAAAATAGCGTCACGGTAGATATAATTAATTCGAGAGGGTTCAGGAGAGTGGCGCTAGTGTCGCGCCCTGTATAACTTCCGAGTCGATTCTCCTAAATTTTCTTCCTAATTCCATAATAAAAATTGTATCTGTGTCCAAATGAAATTACCAACGTCCGAATCCGTTTTCCAGACTTGCCAGAGACCCGATCGCTGCACTTGGAGAGCGACGCCGCGGACAACGACGCCGACAACGAAAAGAGCGACAACGAAACAGCTGGCGAGCACAACAACACGGCCCCGGACGGAGCTCCCTCGTTCAACAAGAGCATCGAGATGCCAAACGTGGTCGTGAAACCGGCAGGGAACATGCTGCGCCTGAGGTGTCCCAGTCTCGGCAATCCAAGGCCGAACATCACCTGGCTGAAGAACAACGAGGAGCCGAAAAGAATGCTCGGGACGTACCTCGTCAGCAAGTGGACGTTCAGAGTGGAGGATCTCGTGCCCGAAGACAGCGGGAATTACACCTGCGTGGTGTGCAATTACTTGGGTTGCATCAATCGCACCACCAAGGTCGAGATCGTCGGTGAGTGTCTCACCATGTCTAAACTATAACCTGCCACAACGAATTCCATCGTTTCCGAACGGTTAACCGTAGTGGTACCTTGAACGAGACCTTGCGAGACCTTGAAGAAAATCGTCGAGATTTGATCTACACAGACGAAGGTATCGGGTTGTAACACACGAGCCAAGTGATGCAGCTAGTAGATGGCGATGTTCTTGAGTAGCCAACTGCTTCTGTTCGACCCTTTGCGACTCTATGTCGAGGGAGATTCGACAAAGATAGAAAGATCATAGTTTCTTTTTTTTTCATACTTTTTCTGTCGTCGATTCGAATTCTACTTTGCGTTATTTATTCTTCGATGCTTCAAAATTCAGAGTGCAGAGGTCTATGTCGACCCTTCTTTTGACTCCGAAAAGTTACCACGTATCCACGAACATGGAACATTCACCGGTTGATGTTTCACGTGTTACAACCCGACATCTCGCGACACCCCTATGAATCTTCGGCAGAGGTGCATTAAAACCACGTGACTTGGTGAATCTGTAGAACGTTTCCCACACAAGCCGTACATCAAGGACGAGTTCCCGAAGAACGTGACCGCGCTGCTGAACAGCTCCGTGAACTTTACGTGTTCGATCGTGTCCGATCTCGAGCCGTACATGCAGTGGTTTAGGGTCCCCGAGTATCCAGGCGACAAGGAGAAGTCTCCGAAGGGGATCTTGGTCCAGGTACAGCGGCTCGTTACTGTTCGGTGGTGGAGGTTCCCGTTTCTTTCGACGAACGTTCGTCGCTGAGAGCGTTCTTAGCCGCGAACAATTTCGATTCTGGCACTCTGGTGACTTCTGGTGACTTGTGGCGTGCTTTTATCGATTTAACAGTGACTAACGATGGTGGAGGAGCTCCGGAGGGCACTTCTATTCTTACAAACTTTCAGGTGCTGCTTCGCGGGACCTCCTCGATCTTTACGGTGTTTTTAACTTATCTGTTTTTAATGATCCTCCAAGGTGCAGGTCTCCTCGTGATTCTTTCTGACGCGTTCAACGAGATCCCTTGGAATCACGTTCGAACGTGTAGTTCTACTTTTAACTCGTTGACTGCCAGAATGAAATTCCTACGAGGCTAAATATCTTTTTTATACGATCAGAAAAACGGATCTCTAGAATTTAGCAATTCTATCCAGATTAACTTTTCTTTAACACCTGACCTTCAGAATTCGTTTATTTAATTCCTCGGCGAGAATCCCTCGTGTGTGGCGGTCAACGTGTTGATAAGATCTCTGAGGTGGTGGCCTGAGGTGTATCCGAGAGATCTTATCTAACTCCTTCAGCTCTAACTCCTAGAGCCTTCTGCAAGGCGAACGAATATGGTTCCAAGCGACGTTCTCGCACTTTTTTCTCCGATCTAATTCTGGAGCTTGGTAAAGAAACGGTGGTTGGGTCTATTTTTTCCTGTAGAGAGCGTGAAACACCGACCGATACTGACCAGAGCGCCGAGAAACGCCACCGTCCTGATCGGAACCAACGCAACGATGACCTGCGAGGTGCTCTCGGACGCGCATCGTCACCTCGAATGGTATCACGGTTATCACACTTCTTTCGACACTGTCAACAAAACCAATCACAGTTTCCGGGTGGAGGTCAAGGTGGGCACCGTAGAACCAGTTCAAACTGCACGATAACTAGAGCTTTCGCTTTTCACGCTTCTCCCGTCGACGACTATGAACTCTGTTTTCCGTTCTTCGTTTGTCGATACGGCGGACTTCGAGGACTTACTCGTTCCCAGCTTGAGGTAGTTGCACGATTAACGGACTGCGGATTTTTATGCATTTTTGGGAAAATAAAAAAATATTGAAAGTAAAGTGTTTGCAGAGTGAAATAAATGTAAGTTGAATTTTTGTTGGTACGTTTGCAAAGATCCGCAGTCTGGCGATTAATTAAAGTCACGTAAACGCAGTCCCACTCGGTGAAGTCCCTATCGACACAAGTCCAGCCCGAGCGTAATCGATTGGTCTTGTAAACAACCTTGGCAACCGATAGATTTTGCTCAAACTTACTCTTTCTACATGTCTGTATATAACTCCTTCCTCTGCACAGACGTGCCAACTCTGCGTTTCTCTACGTTGCATTAGCTTTCTTTCATCGGTGGCCCCGGCATTTAAATTTATTTGACACGTTCGACCGTCGACGTTTCGCAGGATGGCAGGGACGTGCCCAATCCAGAAGTGTTGGAATTATACAACGTGACCGAGAAGGACGAGGGATGGTACACCTGCATCGCCCAGAACACCCTGGGTGAAACGTTCAGCAGCGCCTATCTTCGAGTGGTAGAATGTGAGTACTGGAAGAGCTAAGAAAAAATTAATTCTGAAAGTAAAGCATCGGAAATGAATTTTAATGAAACTCTCGGACTTCGATGAAGTCGCAAAAATAAATACCGAGAGAGTGCGAGCCTCGAGGTTCCCTTGATGACCGCATCAGGAACGTGGCGCTAGTGTCGCGCCCCGTATAACTTCCAAGTTGCTCCTACGAGAATTTTCTCCTAAACACCATTTCAATATACGTATTTATGGGATCGACTGTATATCCATAGTAACCCTCTTTTTTTATTTCGAACAGCTCTGGAAGATCCCAGGGTGCCGATTCCAGCGAAACCACAGATCCTGGTGAACGTTTTGGCCGCGGTGCTGTTCATCTTCTTCGCCGTGGGCGTGGTGGTGGTCATCTACATCTTCCATCGGCTGAAGCGGGAGAAGATGAAGAAGCTGCTGGCGATCGAGACCGCGAGGGCCGCGGTAGTGACGCAATGGACGAAGAAGGTGATCGTCGAAAAGCAGAACCTGGTGAACGCGCAGAACGTGCAGGAACCGTTGCTGATGCCCGTGGTGAAGATCGAGAAGCAAAAGTCGACCGTGGCGGCGGAGGACAGCAACGGTGGGAGCATATCCGAGTACGAGCTTCCCGTGGACAGCGCCTGGGAGCTGCCCAGGGAGCATTTGTCTCTTGGGAATACCCTGGGCGAAGGGGCGTTTGGCAAAGTCATCAGGGCGCAGACCAACACTGGGAAACCTGGAATTCCCAGCGTGGTGGCGGTGAAGATGTTGAAAGGTATGTATCCAGGTCCTTTGACACGTTGACTGGCACACTGATTCGCTTAGAAACGTCTAAATGACCACGACTCAACTACAAACTTGTTGCAGAGGGTCACACGGACGCGGAGATGATGGACTTGGTGTCCGAGATGGAGATGATGAAGATGATAGGCAAGCACGTGAACATTATCAACCTCTTGGGCGCCTGTACTCAAGGTGGACCTCTTTATGTCGTTGTGGAGTTCGCTCCGCATGGAAATCTGAGGGATTTCCTTCGAGACCACAGACCGTCCTCCGGATACGAGCCAACGATTGGCCAGGAGCCCAAGGAGAAAAAGACCCTGACGCAGAAGGATCTGGTGTCGTTCGCGTACCAAGTGGCCAGGGGGATGGAGTACTTGGCGAGCAGAAGATGCATCCACAGGGATCTGGCCGCCAGGAACGTGCTCGTCAGCGACGAATACGTCCTGAAAATCGCTGACTTCGGTCTTGCCAGGGACATTCACTGCCACGACTACTACAGGAAAACCACAGACGGACGACTGCCTGTTAAGTGGATGGCGCCTGAGGCTCTGTTCCATCGGGTGTACACCACTCAGTCCGACGTGTGAGTGTTTCTTGTTTGATGATATGATTGGTTTTTTCTTGAGTTGTGATAGTACGATGGTGCTCTCTTGTTACGAGGTTCCATGTTATTTAGAAATCTCTCCTGCTGAAAGCAGGCTGAAACCTAGCTGAAACCTAGCTGAAACCTAGCTTCTATAGCTAGGTTCTCTAATGTGAGCCTGTTAGACCTTCATAACGAAATCATCATCAGTCTTGTTAGCGCCATCTTAGAACGAAACTCCTACATTATTCAGAAACGTCCCACAAGTTTGAAGTAACTTTATTTTTGGTAATGTTTCAGATGGTCGTACGGAATTCTGTTGTGGGAGATCATGACACTGGGTGGCACGCCCTATCCATCCGTACCATCCGTGGAGAAGTTGTTCCAGTTGCTGAGAACTGGTCATCGAATGGAAAAGCCACCGTGTTGCTCCATCGAAATGTAAGTGCACTTTCAGAATCACGGGGTTCCTGTGTCGTTGATTAACTGCTGTACGATAATCCAAACGATTCAATCGTTACAGATACATGCTGATGAGGGACTGCTGGAGCTATCAGCCTAACGAGAGGCCGATGTTCGGGGAGCTGGTCGAAGATCTTGATAGGATACTAACGATCACTGCGAACGAGGTGAGATCTCTCTTCTATTCTCACAACAGCACATCATAGATCACGGTGTTACGATCGTCATTTTTAGTTTAGAAATTTACCAACATAAAATAGCTGAAAATATCATAAATGAACAGATCGGTTCAAAAAGAGTTTGTAATGTTTTACCATAAAAAGTAAGCGATATATTGTTTGAGGTTCAAAATGAACTTGTAAAACAGGTAATTTTTAAATCAGAAATCCACCGAAATGAAATTTCCATTGAACGATGCAATTTTCACGAGTATCTTTCATCAATTTCAGGAATACCTGGACCTCGGTCTTCCTCAGCTGGACACACCGCCGTCCAGCCAGGAGTCTAGCGACGCGTCTGACGACGAGGGCGAGGAGAAGTTCCCTTACTTGCTGTGAACCGAAACCCCGAGGAATATTGGTCTTCGCCGATGAACGTGTACGATTCATATCAGAACACGAACGCCCAGGAGGAACGACGAACGAAAACGAGGAAGAGGCGATCGAGGAACGAAGAAATGGAACGCTGGTGTACGGAGGTGGATCGACTGACCCAGCGAGCACGCCAAATAATATAAATCAGTATTGACCTGTTAGCGCGTATTCTCTAGAGTTAAGGTACAAAGGCGATGAAAATACCTGTCGATTGGAAAGCGACTCCGGAGGAGTTCGAAAAGACCGATTTCGTCAACGAGAAGACACTGTATTTATTTCCCTGTGTCGTTGATACCCTGGGGACCCGAGGTTCGAAACAATGCGATCGTCGTCGATTGTAAGGACCAGGCTTGTTTAACGCGTTGACCAATGGAGCATTTTTCCAGGAGTTCGTTAAGTGGTACTGAACCATGCTCTCGAGAACGAGGCGAGCTTTAGCCCTTTGCACTCCGAACTTTCTGATTTCAGTACATTTTTTCCGAGCCTCTTATATTGGCCCAATCGGACAGGCCTGGTTCAGACGATCCCTCAGTATTGGAACGTTATTGTTCCCGGATATTTTTGTACGTTTCTCAGGTTTCGTGGCTTGTTCGATCAGCAACGAACGCCTCGACGAGGTGTGGAAGTGTCCTTTTTAATGTCGTCCAATTTTTGTACATGTTATCACCGTGCCATTGATAAGTGCCTTGGGGAGAAGTGAACGGGGAGCTCCGTGTCAGGGCTTTGTTGTAAAAAGGGAGAGGGGGTGTGTGTGTATGTGTGGAGGAAACGGGACGAATTTATCTCGATACAAACGTGTTTATAACTAGTCAATTGATGAAACCTTGTACGTTTCACTGTAACATAGTTAAACGATAAATATGTATAAACTGTTGGTAGTAAATGCCTATCAAACGATAAAAATAATGCATACTTTCAGTCCTGGAGCATTTATTCGAAGGATCAGTTTGAAGAAATCCTCGAGGGCGAGAAATATTTATTATTTTTATAGGTGAGTGTATATGTTGGCGTTTCTCGTGTGAACGCACTCGAGTGGACAACGACCGCGAGTTTCGCATCCGCGTATTTTCTAAGCTTATTTCTGTCTCTGTAAGAAGAGGATACCGTTAGATTGTAAGAGAGATCGCGAGCCACGGTTTCGTCTGATTCTTATTTTTGAACATTAAAATACGAATTCCGATCTATAAATACAACTGAATCTAAATTTACAATACTACACCAGTGGGATTTCTGCGCAAAATTGAAAGTAATTAATAGATTGGCGAGACGTGTTATGTATATATAGGGTAAAGATTGAATAAAAATAAAGAAACTCGGGCAGGTAACGACGCTGATGGCTCCGTTTCGATGCTCCAACGACACGCGCGCTCGTTGGCGATGAAGAACATATTTATGTACAGTATGGACCGCGAAAATTCTGTCCCGTGTGGGCGGAGCCTGTCTGGGCGGGGTCAGGAGGCGTTCCCGTCGCAGTTGCTCCTCCCACAAGAACAAAACTTTCGTGCTTCCAAAATATATAAAATTCGAATAACGCGTAATTTCGTACCGACACAACGAGAGCATTTTGCACGCGAACAAAAACCGATCACATATCGTCCACGTTGATGTACAAGCAACGGATGTATAAATGGTGCATGCGAGAGAGGTGCTTAGCGGTAGATAATTTATTTTCTGTATATTGTTACTTAGGCCGTACCTCTAGGATCCCATTTCTTTTGTATACTTTCAGATCTAGCGACTCTAAGCGATTATGTAAAATATGTGCGATACGACGATCGAGGAAGAGTATATAAAGCAAAAAAAAAAATATATATATATATCTCGTCGACCGGAGATTTTTGTATATAGCACCCCCCGACTTGTTTATTTAAAAGTTTCATTTTCTTTTCTTTTTTGTTACCCAGCACCTAAAGGTAGCCAGTAAACCAGCATTTACCAAGGTAGAATGTATGTATAGTTTCTGCGTAAATATTGGATTATTATTGTAACGTGAGTTTCGTCTCGAATAAATCATTCGAACCCACATCACTTGATGCACGTTGTTTTTTACTCTAATTTTCAATAGCTTTGTATATAAAAAAGCTTGATTTTTTAAAATTAATCGACCTACATCTAGAACTTTATCGTTCAATTTTTTTTATACTCTTAATTCTGTAGGCACGAATAGAATACTCGATGATCCGCTTAAATATTTCATTAACAAACGATCGATAGTTCGAATAATCGGATAACATTAACACGCATCGAGTCCTTCGATAATCCAATTACCAAAATCACCCCGAGTACCCGTAAATCGAAATCGATTGGATCCCGGCGTATAAAAACGGGATACATGGGACATTTAATGAATATAAATGATTAAACAAGCCTACTTAATAGCATGATTGATCGAAAGAGGATGTCAAAACCCCCACCATTAGTCACGAAACCGCGTGTCCACAGAAAAGTTGACTAAACAGCGAACCGATGGCGCTGAGATCAGTTCGTTTTGTTGTCATCAGCCACATTTACACTAAGTTGTTTTTACCAAGTTTTTAGTGGAACGTTTTAATTTTCTATTCTTCCACTTAGCTTCGATTCAACGACAGAAGATGCGAAGGATGGTGCGTACCGTTTACACGAAATTACCTGGCGAATAGCACCAGTGACAGTTGCCGTTGTGTGCTACACTCGACGCTCAGGTTAGAATTCGATAACCCACTTTTTCTGAAAGGCCAAATCTCTTTCTTTTCCCCAATTATCTCGTTTCGTTCCTCGCCAATTAAAAAACACGTCGAACTACGCGATAGCGCGATGAATTTTTATCGAATTCGAATACAACAGGGTCCTGACCCTTATCTCCAATACATTATCTGTACTCTTGTCACTAATTATCTGACAATTTTTGCGAGTAAAAACACTGAATTTAAATGGTGAATTTTCGTTTCGTGCCCCGAGTTACAATATGCAATAATTTTGGAGTAATTTAGAGACTCTGTAACGTTGTTGTATCTATGCGTGTTGTCATAGGTAACAACATATATTAAATGGTGATTACCAGTGCCATGGAGAGAAGAATCAAATTGAAAACATTGAATAGTCACATAACGTGCAAGATATGCAGAGGCTATTTGATAGATGCCACCACTGTTACCGAATGCTTACACACATTTTGCAAAAGCTGCCTAGTGAAACATTTGGAGGAGAAACATACCTGTCCGACATGCCAAATAGTGATACATCAGTCGCACCCCCTTCAGTACATAAGCTTCGACAGAACTATGCAAGATATCGTATACAAATTAGTTCCTGATCTACAAGAGAGTTAGTAAATTCGTTGATACCTCAGACAATGGAGAGTATGAATGATGAATCCATCATATCTTGTTTCAGATGAAATTAAAAGGGAAAGGGAATTTTACAGAGCACGAGGTTTACCTTGTCCAAAGGATGTTCTACCAAATGCCGGGGAAGTCGAAGAAGAAAAATCAGGAGCAGATACGCATGCAGAATCCGACTACCATCGTGCAGACGAACAGGTATAAATAATTGAGAACCTTTATCACCTTGAGGTGTTAAATCTGATTTCACAAAACTAATTGGTAAACGTTTCTTTTTTAGGTTAACGTCTGTTTGGAGTGTGTAAATACAAATTTAAAGACTTTGAAAAGAAGATTCATTAGGTGCTCTGCCCAAGCGACTATTACGCATTTGAAAAAGTTTATTGCCAAGAAAGTCCTAAACGGGATGGAAAAATATCGAGATGTAAGTAAGCCCTATATTTCCGTCGTATTTGAATTTGTCGTGTTCCAACTGTTGTACTTAATCGATACGTTAATTACAGATTGATATTTTGTGCAATGACGAACTCTTAGGTAAGGACCATACGTTAAAATTTGTTTATGTAACAAGATGGAGGTTCCGGGACCCACCTTTGAGGCTACAATATAGACCACGAATAGACATTTAAGACTAATATTTCTATGTTCGATACGCGATGAAAAATCACAAAGAAATCTGTACCTACTTTATATGTTTCCTAGTTCTATTCGTGTATTGCCCGTTGTAGTACTTATTCCTGTGTTCGCAGCAAGAATTTGAAATTGAATTTCGAATCGGAGAATCTTCTCGCGAAAAGAAAAAAAGGAGGGGGAAATGGCTTTAGACTTACATCTTTCTACCGAATCATCTTAACCGGAATACCAATAGTCATTAGCACAACGTACGTGTAAAAATAGGGATTCCATCATTTATACGCTCGATTAACTTTTTATTCCGTTCGTAGTTAGGGTTTCGAATCGTTTTGCATACCGTTTCACGTGGGTTACATTAACTCGACACTTCGAATTCGGTGCGTTACTTTTAACGATTATAGATTTGTGTAATGTGTAGCGTATAAGTAGACCAAGAACGCGACGCGACACGAGAAAAGGACATTTCCATCTCACTAGTGTCGCGGAGCGTGTTTAATAAACATTTTAGTTGCAACGTTGCATCTCGTCACAGCGACGTGGCATAACATTGCGTGTTCTTAACATCTAGTTTGAGTAAATATTTCAAGCATTCTTTGTTCCGAAACACGAGAATGCCGGCTAGTGTCTTTCATGGATGAAGGTTTATTACTTTTACGGTAATCGAAAACGGAACAAAGTCGCCCTTCTCTTCGTAATCCTAAGACGTGAATTGTTTTGATACGTACCCTGATTGTATATAGAATATTTTTGACAGAATTCTGATAACATTGCGCATAGACGCGGCTTTGTATTAGACGAATGAGGAAAAAAAGAAAGAAAGAAAGAAAGAGAATACCGGGCCTAGGCGCGTGGATCTAGGCCTCTTTAACTTTGTATGTTTACGCACTGTACACATTCTAATTCGGCCCCGAATTTCACTCAATACCGGGCTACAAAAGAATTTTATCAGATGTGACATATTTTCTCGATGGATTTGATAAGAACAACGACGTGTTGAGCGGAACGCGGGGCATTTATCGCTTTGTAGTAAATGAACTTGTTTCATCGGACAGTGTAAAGCGAAAAAAAAAAACAACCGTGTGATTGTATATAAATATTCTAGGGAAATGAAATGAAATCAACTTTACAAAGTAGCAGCATTTCATGAATGCTAGGGCTTGTACGTTGTACACTATGTGTGTATCTCCATAAATTATTAAATAAATATGTTTTGTACAGTATTAATCTGATGTCATTGTTCGAGGAACTAATTAAGATTTTAAAAGCGCCGCGCTTGCGAAACTCGAAGTCCATGTATCGCAAATAATCGAAGCTGACATTTCGTGAATGTTACATACTTCAGATTGATCGTATTTATTTAAGTATTATAAAAATTTGTTTAAACGACAAGCGTTCCGAGGCGACTAAAGATAAACATCAACCACCCCCAAAAATTCGTAAAACGTTGATTGATTATCTAACTTCACGTAGTTACCAAATTGATGCCAAGTCGGGACGCCACCAGAATATTAATTTCGATCGAGTGACTTTAAGTAGTCTTATCACGTAATACCAAACTAAAAATCGAAATCGATACAAATATGTGCGTCTTAAAGTTCTTAAAGGACACAATCAGAAAGCTACAAACACGTTTCTCAGACAAAACTCGAGAAGTTAAAATTTCGATTCTTCAAATGATTACAATTATTACATATTTTTAGTAGTATTTTTAATAAAACAGATCGCTTGTAGCCTCTCAAAAGAACCCAACGAGTATTAGTAATCGAAATAGAAAACCTTACGTTAATTTTCTTAAGTGAATGTGCAGAAAGGGATGATTCGTCGTTGGCACCAAAATTTCATACTACGGTTTGAAAATATCGCGCATGCGCAGTCGTCGACTGGTTAAAACGGTCGGCGCATGCGCTGTCGTCGAGCAAGTTGAACGAACCGCATGCGCAGTGCATTCCGAAATAGTTTGTGGTCAATGCGCGATAAGTAGAGACCGTTGCTGCTGTCCAGCAGCACGGCAGGTGCAATATAGTTTAATTTTTCAATGAATTTGATTTCAAGAGTCAGTGTTTTCTCGTATGTGTGTCTTACGTGCAGTTTCTCAAATAAATGAGCTTGCAGGACAGCCTGTTTTCCGAAGAGGTGGAGTACGACGTGACTCTGTTTTCAAGGGACAAAAAACGGAAAAGGTAAGAGCCAAATGATCACGTTTCCTGATGCAACGACGCGCCTTTAAAGGTTAGATCGGTAGCTTTTGCAACGTGTTTTCGAACATTACTCGCAACTTTCGATTTCTAGCGATGTTTACAACGGTAAAAAACCTGGCGAAGCTTTCCCACGGGAGTCATTGAACTCGTAATTGGAAAAATGCGACTCTTATGTATTTGACGTGTGTCATTGGAAAAATAAGATAACGTGCGTCGTAAATAGCGTTAATTGGATAAGTTACGAGCTTTTATAACGGTTTCTACGAACACTACACGGTGTACGTCGGTTGAATTGAATTTATCCAGATTCGAAGACTATTAAAGTTGCTTTTAGGATTCAAAGATGGGTGAAGTTCTAGTCTAGACGAAAATTTCAATAACCTTCCGAATTGAATATAAACTAAAGAAGTCGTTCGTTGTTCGCTTAGGGCTTCGAACAATAGTTAAGACGATACCGTACAAACGCCAAGGAACGTGTAACAACTTATCGACTTCTTTCGCGACCTCTGAGTTACACCGTTATAAATATCTCGGTCTGAAGGTAAATGACTAATACGTATCATCGTTTTCCAGCCCACGATCGTTGACTCGCGCTTATTTACGAAGACAATCCCGTTACGTTGCCATATAGATTCTACGTTTCTTTCTTTTTTTTTTTTTACGTGACCCGCGTGCTTCGAATGCGGGCGCTTTTTTTCCGCTTTGAACTTTTCTATTATTAGCAGCTGCATAACGTTTTGAGAAACATAAAAGAACCGCGAGTCTATTGGCAACCTGCCCGAGAAAAATGAAGAAACATTTTATGGTTGTCTAACATTACCTCCAAATTATTGGATGAATTTTCATGTCGCGCGTATCGCGGTTGAATAGTCCCTTACACGTAAGTTTAAAATTAAATTCCATTGGAAATATCGTGTAACAGCGTGTACTTGAGAGTTTTTTATTATCTTCGTAGGATTGTGTGCACAGTTGGTCAGATTTTCATTCGGTCAGCCAATCAGAGTAACGAATAACGCTGTATCTAGATAAACTTTGATTCATGACTCACGAATAAACTTTTATTTTACAGATAACATATATAGAACGTAAATAACGTAAACAAGCTTGCACGCGATACTGCACAATTATCGGAGAACCCCGAATCCTTTGAATTTCGTCAGCCTCCGGGACTGTCCAATACCAACGTAAAAATATAAAGTTAACGGTTAACTAGAGTTCTCTAGTTATTTCTTTTTATTACGACCAATTCAGGTTGTAGGTAGCACTCGGTTATTATTATTAACTTCCCGATTTATAGGGAAGTTATCGTATTTGGCCCTAAAATGAAAAATCGATTTTTTAGCAGATCTCCATGTTTCAAGGTCATTGGAGTAATTTTACCCTATTTTTAACAAATTGTTCGTGTGCGTGAGCGCGCGCGGGCGCGTATGTATGTGCGTATGTAAACAAATTTTTCGTTAACGTTTTCTAAAAAAAACTACTAGCGAGATCAAAATGATCGATGAATGCAATCGATGTGTATCAATCTAGCTTAGAGCTGATTAGATTTTCTTCGAATTCGGTCCAGTATTTTTTTAGTTTTTTTTTTTTTTTAAGAAAACTTAATAACAACGCAATCTAGTGTTTTACAATGATATAACGTCGATATCCATCGATTCTTGATATTTTATTCGATTACATAGCCTAAATGAACCTCTGGCCCAAATGATTTATTTTTCGAACGGATCCACCTCGATCACGATTGCCAATCTACCGCGACGCTCGCTTAACGTATGTCGCTCACGTACACTCATGATTACGTGAACCACGCAACGCTTACGAGATTGCAGTCTGTTTTTTTCATTGTAGTTCAAGGCTCGTCGATTTGGTCGTCGATGAACGTAATTAACAGATAAAGCTTACGATACACAACGATCCGAACCGTATTCGCGGGGATAGTCGTTTTGCATGGCTCGCAGAGTCGATTTCTTTTTCTTCGTGGCTTTCTTTCGAGCCAAAGGGTTGGATGGAGGGGTGGAACCAATTTATCGCGCTACACGCTTCGTTCCACATGAACGGCTGGCATGTAATTTAACTATCGCGTAACGTGGAACATCGGTTAAGGTGAAAATCCAAGATCGCTCGGGTATCCTCGCGAAATCGTTTATCGACTGTAAAAAAAAAAAAGAAAAGGACTGCCTCGAAACTGCGCTTCCTGTTCGTCTCAATTAGCTCGACTTTTCAGCTGCTCTCGAGGATATTCCAGATGCTCGAGTTAAAGAAGAATTACGTAGATTAATGTATTCTATGAAATTGTTCGCTCTTCTCTATTTCTTCTCTTTGAATACTAACCTCTTTGCTACTGTGCGCAGGAAGGAACAAAAAACCCCAGACTGGAACTCGCGAAAATTCCTACGATGTTAAAATTGTTTTAACACTTTCGCTGCGGATGACGCACACGCGCGGCCAACTGAAAATATATGTTTGTTTTTATTATTTTTCAATTTTGATTTTTCTTTTTTTCTTTTTGGTCGGCAATCATATTATACTTTTTTAGTCGGTTTAGTCGTATTTAGACATTCGTTACGATATAAGCATTCATGTTGGTCTGTTCTTTTCTGTTTAGTGTTGCGGTTAGACTTTTGGAAAATTTTCTTTCCGTGTTTACCCTTATAGAATGGATAATAACCGACTGGGACCTTCGGGCATCGAACGCAGGTAGTTTCTTTATAAAATACTTTACGAAATAATTTACCACAGATATATGTTTCTAAAAATAATATCGTATTAGAACATTTGTAAGAAATTTTTCATTAAAGAAAAATATAATTGCAGCTCCCAGCGAAGTATAGCTTCCCAACTACTTATTTTCGTCCGCAGCGAAAGCGTTAATGGTAATTGTATGGCCCCGTAGCGAATTACGCGTGTATCGCTGTAACATTGAATCGAGGAATAGGACACGCATATACAAATGTTACGTGAAAACGTTAAACGAGCCCGTTATCGTTGGTGGAATGCGATCGAAACGACGCGATACGGGCGAATGCCTCGAAATTCGAGGAAACGAACGAAGGAGAAAGTATAAACGTCGCGTTATGTAAAAGTTAGGCCAGCCGGCGTTCATCTGACACGGCACACCGCGCAGTGGCCCGGGGCAACGCGGTTACGTTCACCGTCCGACCGTCCTCAGTCCGGTCTCACTTTCAACGACGATCGTAACGCGTACTTTTCACTTTTGCAGGGTACTCGTCTTTCCACCTGTAAACAACTATCGGAGGTACATCATACACCAGCTGGTGCAGGATCGTTTCGACGAGCTGCACACGTTCTCCATTGGCCAGGGATCGGCCAGACGTACCGTCGTGTGCTACAAAAGTGACGTGATAAGGTATCGGACACGGTTCCACGCTTTATTACGGCGACGCGGGTCCAGGAACGAAATTGGATTTCAAACGAAACAGCCCAGCCGATACAACCTGTCTTCTGCTTTCCATAGTGTCCAAACTTCTTTTATAACAAACTAATTTACCACGCGTAATTCCTAATCTTATTTCCGAATTTAAAAATACTCTTTGTTGGTTTTCCGACGAGGTCTCCGTATTCCATTTTCTCTTCTGTGAAGGTGTAACGCTAAGTGATAAAGCGAAGTTTATGTAAGTGCTATACATAACTTTTGTTTGATCTCTAATTTTCATTACGTAGAATAGTCCATAGTGTCTAAACTTTTGTAACAAACTAATTATTACCACGCGTAATACTCTTTGTTGGTTTTCCAATGAGGTCTCCGAATTCCATTTCCTCTTCTGTGAAGGTATGACACTAAATGATAAAGCGAACTTTATATAATCTCCACGCATAATTTTGTCTTTAATTTCTAATTTCCGTTACTTAGAATCTCCTTCATATATATTCTATTCCAAATGCATTGTAAATCCTCTCTAAATTATATTTTATCGTCAATAATTTCGTTAAATGAATTTCGCGAATACAACTTTAAATTTACCAGCAAAACGAATGTACAAACTGAATAAAATTTATGAGAGATTTTAAAACAGCCCTAACAAGACAAATTCACTGTTACGAAATGAATTTACGACGGTGGAATTCGTGCGACGTAGCAGCGACGAACGAAAGTGAAACTGATCGGCTCAAGGTCGCCTAGCGTGTTATCCGGATGTGTCGCGAGGACTGTTCGATGCTTCGTGGATGCTCTCGTTTAAAGTTGAGAAACGATAGAATTTTTGCATCTTTGTGATTTAAGGGATCCCAAATTGAATGGTGTGCAGTGTAAACCGAACGCGAAAGTCATTGATACGCTGTTGGAGATGGGCGTTGAAGGAAGGCGGTCGCCCTCCGCTTCGCCAGAACGTGTACGAGTTCAAAGACAAGGTGACCAAAAGACCACGATTAAAAGTTTCTCTTTTCTACTAACAGAACATGGGCTTTAAATTATCTTCTTTAAATGTTTAGTAAAGTCGGTTCCTGCGGTCGAGATTTACAGGCCACCAGCTGCTAGAAGAGCCAGGAATGAACTCCACATGAGTACAGACCAAGCTCAAGTACAGTCGAGTACGGATTCGTCTTCTACCGCAAAGTAAGATATTCATTACCTATTCAATATATATTCAGAGATATTTCAACATACTTGCATCATTTACCATCAAGGTCTACGCGCCAGAAGAGGCCTGATCGCGCAGTCTACGTTCCAAGGCATCGTAGAAGTTTGGAAACCGAAGGAAGCCCTCAGCCTGTGGAGTCCTCTCGCACGAGTCGTACGGTTAAGGAGAGTTCGACTTCGTCCTCTGCTTCTCACGGGCAACCGAAGACGAATTTAAACCTTAAAGAACCAGACTCTGGTCTGCAGACGAGTGTGGATAGCGCGAAAAAGAAATCCAATACATGCATTGATAAATGTCAGGATAACTTGGACAGTCTTCACGAAGATACTCTTCATACAGATTCGAAGGACGTGCCTGTTATGGAAACATGTAACGAAGAGAAATCTGAACAGTTGAACAGCATCAACGAGGATGTGCCAAACGAATCTGACTGTTACACTGGCTCCGGTATAGAGTACGAAAGAACCGATGCATTTCAATCGCAGACTGTTAAAGAGGAAGAAATGTCTAATGATTCTAGTGAAAATAAGAATAGTTTAGTTTCGGTCGAAACGTATGTACATAACGAAATTAATATTAACGAAGAAGTAGAAAGGTCTGATAATTATAAAGATAATGTTGTTATAATATCAACGTCAAATAATAACAAGATAAACGAGGAACTCTCGAATAACGATGAAATAACGAATAAAAAGAACACAGAAATGATACACAGCAATATGGTATCCGACGTATTAATTATATCGGATGTTGTAAAAAAGGAACCACAGTCCGTTGTTAAGGAAGTCGTTCCTGTTTCTGTAACACCGCCAGAGAAGAAAGTAAAAAAGATCGAAAGGCAAAAGAGCAAACCAGCCCCTCCGCCTTCTCCTCCTGTTAAAAAAATAAATAGGGACGAATGCGACTGGGATAGTTTATTCGACGACAACGGCGACTGCTTAGATCCAACCCTTATAGAAGAGGCAAGTATTTAGGTATATATATATATATATTTCTTTTTGAACAAAAGAAGTAAAATTTGTTTTACAACAACTTTGTGTTTAGTTATCTTCCGCAGTGGGTGACGTTGTAATAGAGCAACCGAAAAGCGATTACAAGTCGTACACCAAACACATCGAAGTATCCAGCGACGAGTTCGCTCATGTTGTCGAGATATACAACTTCCCATCGGAATTTAAAACCAGCGACTTAGCAACCGTTTTCAGTTCGTTCAAGAATGGCGGTTTCGAGCTAAAGTGGGTAGACGACACCCATTGTCTTGGAGTCTTCAGTAGCCCTCTTGTTGGTAATTAAAAACACATTGTGTTTTTCATTAAGTAATTAACGAGTGCTTAACGTTCGCGAATTCTCAGCTGCCGAGGTATTGGCGTCTGATCATCCGTTCGTGAAAACAAGGCCACTGAGCGAGGCCACAGCCTTGAGCAAAACGAAAGCAAGGAGAAGCGCGGAATTTTTGCAGCCTTACAGAAGTCGTCCGGAAACTTGCGCGGCATTGGCTAGACGATTGGTCACGGGTGCTTTGGGCGTGAAATTGGCCACCGCTAGACAAGAACGGGAACACGAGAAGAATGTACTGCGCGAAGCTAAAGGTAAAACATCATTTATCTGTATAGAAAAAAATGATGAGCTGGTCAAAAGGGAAATATTCTTTTTTTCTTTTAGAGAAACGTCGATTAGCCAATAAACAACGAGATGACGTTTGGGAGGGCATAATTCCTGAAAAGTAGCATTATCTGTTGGTAATGTAGCGTCATTACATTGGGACTTACGTCATATGTAAATGTTTCGCGACGTTTACATGCATTTTGTGCCTTACTCATCTATTTTTCATCTTTGACAAAAACGCATTTTGTCGAACTGATTTGGCTATTGGTTTTGGGAACACGGGGGAATAACTTTGTCAATAGATGAGTGCGGCATGACGGTTATACCGTAACGGATATATATTTGCTTAGGACTGGTAAATGAGTTTCCAACGTTTCTTTGTTTTCTACATATATGCATATCACGATTTGTCCAGACCAGTTGAATGTGAGTGCCTGTTGCATTATTTTCTAATGGAAGGATATCGAGTATTTTAAGTGATATTGTAGATATAGGGCGATTTATAGCCCTGGCTTTAGAAAACTACAAACAGAAGTAGACAAACGTCTTTATGATACGGTTATTCTTACCTCAATGGTTGCCTCTGTTATAAATTTATAAATACGATGACAAACAATGCTGTGTTGTGCAATGATAATACGAGACAATAAGATTAGAATGTTAGAAAATAATGATACTCTTTACATACGAGCACGCGTGCACATACATCGATTTAACTACAGTGATATATAATCAAAACGTGTCTTCACAGAGTTATGATTTCACAAGGGCGATGTGGTATTTTATTATTGTCTGTGCAACATAAAATATTGTAGTTGTGAATTGTACCGCGTATACATATATATATATCTCTGTTATATAAATGTTAAAATCTGACGCACAATCATGATGTCTACACGTATTACAGATTTACTAAAACAAACTCAGAATTAAAGATTGTATTTTTATATACAATTGTTACCAACAGAGGAATAAAGATATGTATCGCCAAATCCTAGTCAATGTACGCAAGAATTATGTTACCTATATTGTATGTTATATTGCCGAATTTTTGTCACAAATCGACAAATGAATTTAACGAAAAGAATAAAAAAAAATATTTTATGTACCATACAGTCTGCATATATTTTCATCCCATTTAGCAACCAATTACATGTCGATCTAATTCTACAGATTAAAAATTCACATTAACTGTAGCTTCTTTAAAAATGGCAGTATAGTGTGCTGTACATAGAAAGTATTCGTATAATTGGACAAATTACTCGATTCGTTAAACAGATGTGTCGCGAGATCGCCGACTGTTGCAGAAGCGTAGAGTAAATGTGTTTTATATACAATAATTCGTTCGAATGTAATACAAATGTAAGTTGGCTGATTACCATTTCCCTCCCTTCTTTTTCTTTTTCTGTTGAACTTTTCGTTGCTTTTGGCGTGGTCCGGATGTTTCCACTGCTGGGCTGTGCCGTGGATTGGGCGTCCGTTTGACATTTGTGGGCATTTTAGTGATATCACTGCAACAATTAAAAAATTAAGTTGATCAAATAATTTTTATGATTTTAGAGGAAATAACTTTCACGCATGATTTTAATACGCACTAAAGATCGCTAGCCCCCGCAGCAGCGCCCTGAGTACCCTTCATTGCAGCATCCCGATTTCTTCTGTCACGTTTTTTCCTGAATCCACTGCGTTCGTGTCTAGGTAGCCACCTTTCAGGATCAGGCGGAACATTTGGATCGTAATTCTTGGGTAACTTTCCTTTGCGTTTACGTTTCTTACGTTTCTTTTGTGTTGCATCAATAGTAGGTTTGCTGAACAAATCAAAATATCGGTTACACCATTCCAAGAAATAAAACTAGAATAAACGAATTGCTTGTAAATATGAAAGATATTTACCCAGGAGATGGCTCTATCTTTTTCTTGATCACCTTGGTACCGATTACCCAATTACTGCTCTCCAAAGCGTCGATGTCAGTTGTTTCAGAGAGATCATGAAGAGGCGGCAAGCGTTTCGATAGAAGATACGCCTTTTCTGGGCTGAATTGCGCGTAGGTCACCACTAACTGTGCCAACGTTTTGGTGTCCGAAGGTGAAGCGTCCAGCATTTCTTGTAGAATGTCTGCCATTACTCTAAAATCTTTTTCTCGTAGATAGAAGTCAGCGGCCTGCCGCCACAGTTCTCCCAAATTAGCGGTGGTTTCCTAAAAATGTGATCATTAAATAGTAAAGTAATAAAAAAAATAGAAGAATTCATATATTCACCTTATTTTTCTTGTAATAGTTCATAGCATTTTTAAGAGCAGCAGATGCTTTCTCGCGGTTATTATCAGCCATGTGAAGAGTTACAAGTGCGCTAACTATACCAGGTAACGATCTATCTCTTTCGTTCAAGTTTTCAAGAATATCAATCGCCTCCTGTCTCTCATCCTGGCTTAACAGTAGTTGGACGCAAACCAGTTTCATCCGTAACTCTTTGTCGCCAACTGCGTACTGAGTTAACAATTTCGCTGCTTCTTTTGCTTTGCCTTCTTTAGCAAGTTGCATTGCTTTGATAAACATGGCATCCGCGGCTAGCACAGGATGATCCTTAGCGAGCTTGTTGCACAGTGCTTGGCATTGCTCCGCCTGTAAATTTGCAAAACATATACGATACAAACGATGATAATATAAATATACAATTATTGTTCGTTAAATTTATACCTGATCAGTATATAAAGCCAGTAAACACTGATTGTACGCGATGTTTCTCCTTTGCCTGGAAGTTAATTTGTGTTCCAAACTATCATGAGTTGCAGTTTTCATTCTCTTCTTACTATCGAACACATTTTGATCCCTATTGAGGCACATAAGATTATTGCTTGCAACCGCTACTAAGGCTATATCGTCTGGTTTTGCTTTCAAGGCAGAAGCGTATAAAGCTTGAGCTTCCTTCTCGCGACCTTGAAGCTGAAGACAGTAGCCAAGCTGAACTCTGATAATTCCTATTTCGTCTTCTATTTCCTCATCTGCTACTCCATCTTCCTCTAATCCCTCTTTGCACATTTTTTCTGCTGTTTTAAGCTTCCTCTCTGCTTCTGCTAAGATAGCTTTATCTCCCTTGCTACCTTGTGCAATTAAACGACATGCCGCATTATACGTTAATTCGTATGTATCTTCACGCAACATAGGAACTTCTACAGCCTGTTAAAACAATAAATGAAAGATAATCTTGGACTATAATCGGTGATTATAATTGTAAGAGAGATTCTTACAGAATCTTCAATTGCCAAGTTTACGGTTACTGCTCCAAGATTTGTTTCTCTTTCATCTTCGTATTCATCATGAGAATTCTTTATAATGTCTCTGTATACAGCGAAACAGTCTTCGTATTTCTCAAGTCGGTACAGTATTTGTGCTTTGAGTTCCTTAAGCTTCATTGAAGGATTTGGAACATTTTCTACTACCTTCAATGCTTCGGGCACTTGATTCAGTCTGTATAAACAGTAAGCTTTCTCAAAGTGTAAATTGCTACAAAAAGAGTAGAGTCTGTTAATTTAAAAATTTCATATGGGAAGTTTAAAAGGAAATTTGTGCTTAGTGTCATGGTAAATAGTGATCGTACATTGATAGCTTCGGGTTCTTGGTAATGAATTGAAGTGCATCATTGAACTTTGATAATTGTATGAAGCAAACTATTTTGCAATGGAAAGCAGCCTCCTCGTCTTGAGAGATGCCTAGAACTGAAATATTTTTCTGTTTTGAGCACAGGTAGTTATCAGAAAGTGAAACGCAGGTTATGTTGACAATAAATTCGGAAGAATCGATTAAGTTCGTGGACTCGCGTGAAAACTTACTTTTATTTGCGGTTTTTAAGGCCCTCTCGTATTCTCCATTTTGTCCCAATTTATTTAACTCTGCGTAAAGCGCAGGAAAATTGCTTTCCTTTGTGGCCATATTGCTCACCTTTCGAGCATGTTCAACGCAACGTGGAACTAACTTGATCCAACTTGATCTTGATCATCGACCATAGAATTATATCGAATAAATAATTAAAATGACATTACAGCCTGTCCGTGTACATACGTATAATAAAACAAAGTTAAAGGAAAGTAAAAGATCGATTTCGTGTTATTTGTATTTGAAAGCTAAGTGGTATAACCACAAAGTCTGGTTATTCATTTCGAAGATATCTCGTATTCAGTGTAAGTAGTGATTATATTGTATATTATATATACATCTATAGTCGGATTACAAAGAGGAAAAATTGTTCGTATGTAGCAAATAATCTCTGGAATTGATTAGCTGGGACGCTTGGGACGAATACAAATTTACAGAGTATCAACAGAGTATTCGTTTATTGAATTTTTTCTATAAGTACATGCCGCTTAATTACGTCAAATAACAGTGCCAGAATGTCAACTACAGTAGCGACGCGTTTTCGAGATCTAATTAAACAAGTTGAAGGTTTTGTTCTCCACGAAGCATTTTATCAAGTTGCCGGCCTTCTCGCAATCGTCGGCGCCGGCTGTAATGATAGTCGATTTCATTTCATTTAACGCTGCAAACCATTATATTCTTGCATTTCTTTACTCACTGGTGTCTTTGCATTTACTAATGAGATCTTCGATGGCTTCTTTGGGAATGTCTGCAGGAGCCTCTTGTCTGACAACGTCTACGTTGATGGAACCATCCTCTTGTATCTAGAGTAATATTCAATTCTTATTGCTTTAGTATTTAAATATTTTGGATTTCTTTAATATTGTAACAGTTTGAAATTGTTTTACGTAACTTACAATTCCGATCTTCTTTAAAACGCAGGACACGTAACAATTGAATTTACCGTTCTTTTCCGGTTCTTGGCCAATTATCATTTTCTTGATCGATTCTGTAAGATTTCGACAAATTTACCATCCGTGTCCCGATGTTAATTTTAACATCCCACGTTAGTTTGGACTCAATTTTGGACCAAATTTTCACTCACCAGACTCGATACCGATCTCCGTCATGCAGTCATCAGCGAACTTGGACAGATCGGATTTTTGCTGCTCCGTAAGTTCTGCCTAAAACATACAAGCACGATTAGTGCAACATAAACGTCTGTACAAAATTATTGCAAATTATGTAGCGATTTAGAAAATGTATATTAGAAGGTTATTAGTTTCAGGGTGAGGGTTCATTTCGTTTTAGAGCTTGGAAAAATGGAACATGAGTTCCATTCGTGATGATTAACATTTCAGTCGTTCTCAAACAAATAATGTTTAGGTCATCGAGCAATTGTTTATTTTTAGCGGTTCTCGTTTAATTTTTGTTTTTTTTTTGTGGTACCTCGACATGGTACTCAAATGAAAGGGGTTCTCACGTAGATTCCAAAAAAAAACATGGGCTACCAGTGGTTCTCAAGACGAAGATTTGAGGAAAACTGAGGAGGCTGTTGATTGCAATTACGATTCCTTCTCACGCGAACTCTCGATTTTAATTGACCAATCAGTTATTTATTTATTCGTTACGTGCAGCGTTCGCGGTATTCCCAGTGCTGTCATAAACTGGCAATACAGTTACAGTCCGTGATTCGCGTGACTCATATTCGTTCGTTTTCTTATTCGTTCTTTTCTTGTAAATTGACATACATTGCAAACGAAATATTCGAATAGTGTTAAAGTTGAATAAAATTTCGACAATTTCAAAAATTCGATAACTGTCACGATTAACTCAAAAAAAAAAAAAAAAAAAATTTGGAAAACACATCGCGTTACAAATGTGTTTTCATAATAAAGCCAGGTGAGGTAGAATGAAATCGAGTGAATAAAAGAAAATCACGAAAGTTACCAGGGCGCTGGCGACGAAGAGGACGAAGACGACGGCCACGGTCTTCATGGTTGCTGGGCGAGAAGTGAAGCGATTATGTTTCAGCGGGAACAATGAACAAGATCGAATGTCCGCCAGGATCTGAATGCTCGTGTTGTTAATCGGGAGTTCTTATAGGGCGAAGTGCAATTACAATTATCTTCAACTCGACGCGCGTTCCTCGACTTCTCCTTCCACCGTGATGAATAATTATTACTTCATTCTTCAACAGGTACCAGATCTACCTTCGTGTATGACAAATTACTATAATATTCCGTAATTACGTGGTGGCCTATAGTAGGATGCAGGCGGACTCGTCAACCTTCTTAAATTTCCCATAACGTTCATTTCTTTCACCAACGAATAAAATACTTGCGATTATTGTCGGAAATTATTTGTCAAAGTTTTACAATATTCGAATGCTGGATGAGTTGTTTATAATTATTATTTACTTCGGTATTGAATTATTTAGATAGTCTCCGGCATGTTGGGAACAATGGAAAAATATGTCTAAATGAAATTCACATTGCTTTACGTCGTGATTTTATTTCCACGTCTGTTATCGATTTTATAGCATACGCACCGGAAATTCGATATAAAAATGATCGTTACAACAGTATCGGATGGCTTGACATTATCGATAGCCGTAAAGACGCCGTCGTTAAATCGATTTCTATAGGCACTTGTTAGTAGTAGCTTCAGCAAGGTCGGTTTAAAAAAAAAAATCAATTGCGTCCGTTTTATTAATGTGCAATACTCTCGAGTAATATGTCCTTCTTGCAATATTAATGCTTATTTGACATCCTTGGTCAAAGTTTCCTGCTGAATGGACAAGAAACTATTGTTTAAATATATATGAATATCGTCGATGGAATTATTATTATTGATTACATAAGTAATTGTTCAAACCTTCGCTCCACGGGGCAGCGCCATCTCGCGGTGAATAGGATGAAGTAAATTAGAAGTTTGATCAGCGCCCTTATCGGGAAAACGCTCAAGTTTGTCCTCGAATAGTTCCCACTCTCAACGTTAGATGGCGCTATTTGTTTATATTAATATAAAAAATAAATATATCTAATAAAAAATTAGCAGACAAGCATTGTGATATTAAAATATGAATGAGAATTATTTTGCAACCCTTGAATCCTATATTATTTTTTTGAACAAACAAATGGCGCCATCGTACGTTAACAGGGGGAACTATTCGAGGACAAATTTGGGCGTTTTCCCGATAGAAGCGCTGACCAAACTTCGGATTTTAGTTCGCCCTATTCACCACCAGATGGCGATTAACATGAAAGAGAAGAGTTCTTCATAAATAATAAATGATAGGAACTATTGTTTTTTTTTCTTTCTCTTAAATTATTGTTATTATTAAGAATTTTACTGGTGTGTCAAGCTTAGGGACACGCTTAGGGAAGCTTAGGTAAATAAATTTACTTTAAAGTAATCAGATTCTGTAGACGATTTATTTATTTACACTTTCTTTATTATTGATCAAGCAAGCAGCCTCGCGATTCATTGTTATAAATGGAATTGACAGTCTTTATGCACGATTCGATAGACATCCCTAATGTCCAAGAGCAACGCCAGTTATAAAGGTTATCGGTTGGTCGACATATAAATAATCGCGTTTTGTTTAGCGTCTCTGCGAACGATACTTTTTTTAATTGAATTTTATTTTTTCTTTCGTTGCGACTGTTGCGATCTGTGCAGTCGTAGGGGGGCTATCAATCTCTAAGGACATCATACTCGGTCAGAAGACTTTCAAGCTTATTGGAACGCTGTGCAACCACTTTGTTCAAATTCATGATTCTAAATTGAAACTGAAATTTTTTGGAATTCATAATTAGAAGGGATCATTCATAGGAAATTACAGAAATTTACAGGAATTCTTTGGAGCTCGTAGAAATTCATGAGAATTCCTAGCAAATGGTTAGAACTCGAAGTACTTCATGGAAATTTACAGGAATTCGTTGGAACTCGAAAAATTTTAGGAGAGTTCATAGGAATACGTTGGAACTCGAAGTAATTCGCGAGATATCGTTGAATTTAAATAAAATCGATTCTATCTTCGACTCCCCGTTTAATAAGTCAAGATTATGGAGAATCTTTCAAGCATACAAATGTTCACAATCATGGAAGTAGATAATGATATAACAGGTCAGACGAGTGGAACAGATACGTGATAACCAATTTATTTATTCTCTTTGTGTTTATTCAAACGTATTCAGAACTAGTAAAACAGACGGACGTCGAGTTCGGTTGATTATCATTCGAACTTATATCTGCAAGCGAGTTGCGGTAATCTCCGCACGAGAAGTAACAATCCTGTAATCCTAGATGATCTCCGTTGGTAATTCGTGCTTTAATTGAATACGCTGAAGGTCTTGTTCTCTATGAAACACGTCATCATGTTACCTCCCTTCTCGCAAATATTGGCTCCGGCTGAAAGTACCGTATTCGTTAATTAATTAATACTATCGATACGATTAATAATCGTAACGTTGCACTTACTGGTGCCTCTGCACTTGTTGAGAACATCGTCGATCTGCTCCTTGGAAACTCCAGCTGGTGCCCTCTTCCTTGCCATTTCCTCGTTGAGAGTTCCGTCCTCGTCCATCTATTAACGAAATAAAAATTAAAATAAAAACTCTTGAACGTTGAGTTACAGGATAAACGCCTGAAAGATCCTACGCCACTTACAATTTTAACCTTCTTCAGCATGCAGGCGGAGAAGCAGTTCATTTTTTCGTTGGTCTTATCATAATTACCGTTCTTCGCGGCATCTACGACCTCTGGGGGTAACAGATAACGATTAATGCGATAACGATTTTTACGTCGTACCTTTACGAAAGTATAGAGATGAAAAACGAGCCCAAACACGTCGCGCTATTTTTTGCCGGGAGTTATGCCAATCGCTTTCGACAAACTATAAGTCGTGTATAGTTAAAAATAATCCGAGGCATACCGTGTTTGGACTCATTTTAATCGGGGAAACTTCCCTGATCCATTCCCGACGTACTTGCGAAGAGTAACAATTTTTATTTTTATTTCCAAAACTTTGAAAGACAGGAAAACACATTTTATTCAACTTACGCGAATCGACGCCGGTTTCGGTGATGCACGCGTCCTTGTATTCCCTCAGTTTGGTTTTCTGTTCCTCGGACAGTGCCTAAATAAGAAAAAAAAAAAAAAAAAAATGCGAAAAAATCCGTGAATTTATTCGTACTCGTATTAATTCGTTACAGCTGCACTATTGCAAACAAAACGAGCGCCATTCGGTTAACTGTGTTGAAAAAGTTCGAAATTTACTTTCCTCTGCCCTCCAGTCTTATAAATACCATCTAACTTTATTTATTTGAAAAAAAAATGTGCACTTTCTGTTTCCGTTATACAACCTAATCACTAATTAAATAATGATTTCTTGAAAATTGGAAAATCGATACATTGGAAATTTAATATACAAAATTCTCGACTGTTACTAGGCGAAAGAACTGTGAAACGAAGACTAGCCATTATTAGGAAACTTTTCGTTCTTTCCGTTGGAGTTTCGAGAGTCCGTTCAAGGGCGAGTAAACAACGAGTGGAAGCCGTAGAAATTTACCATGGCACCGACGAGGCAGATGGCAGCGACGATAACGACGGTCTTCATGTTTATTCTGGAGCTGGTAATCGGGGGGTAAAGTCGGGCCAGATGTTAACTGAGAACTGAATGCACATCCAGTGTTCCTTGGCCGTTTTTATAGTTCGAGATTCGATCATCGCACACGCACGGACGTGTGTGTGTCGTGATTTCTCCTTCCATGGCTCGGGTACATCGATTGCTTCTTTCGTGGGCAATAGCGACCCGATACGCCTCTGGTAACGTGCCATAACATTCGTCGGTTACATAATAACTCCAAAGATGCCGAAGAACACATCCGCCTTGACAAATTACCGTTACGGTAGTTCCTTTCTTTCTTTTTTTTTTTTCTATTTTTTTTTCCTTCCGAAGCGAAGGATCTTGGCCTTGAACCTTGTCTTGGACGGGCACGTTAAATTATTCGTATAAAAAAATAGTATTATAAAGGAGTTAGTTTTGTTGTTTATGTCGTGATAATTTCATATAGTATACCGTTATAACGAAAAGACAATTTAAACACCTTTGGCATTTTTATTTAATTAATAAAAACATCGGTGCTCGTAGTTCAACAAGTAATACAATAGTACATACTATATAGCAATAACATAATAGTACCATTTATTTTACCGTTGATTAATTATGATAATCTGTCTTGGACAATTTTTACCGAAATATTGAACGACAACATTTCGGTATCGAGTAACTATCGTAAATGTTGAATCTGAACAGTTTGAGCAAACTCGTGTAAACAATTATAGTGCACGTTCGCGACGTTTTTCAGTATTATTTACATAATCGTAATCTATACGTCCTCGTCCAAAGTTGCCTGGACGTGTAACATGAAAATTAACCATGGAAATTATTTCTCGGCTGCCTCGAGAATGCCTCTTGCGGTTTAAGAAACATAACAAACAACACTCGATCGAGATTCTTCTCATCCCATTAAGCAATGGTAGTTAGCTAGTTAGCATTTAATCGACTCCTGCTCGTGAAATCAAAAACATTTATTTTAACCTTTCCGAGAAAGGGTCGAAGAGGTCAAATAAATTGCTTGCATCGATTTAAATGTAAAAATAATAATAAATAACACTGTTGGTCATTTTCACAAGACATCTGCAATTCAGCAGCTTACTTGTTGCGCTTATGCCGATAATAGCACAACGGGACACAAATATAAACTTTGATAACGCCGTGTTAACTGTTACAGTATGTTATGACAAGTCATAGTAAATGTGATGAAATAAGAAACACAATATTAATAAAAACAAAAAATGTATATAGAACACAGGTATGATTTATTAAAATTCAAAGAAAAATTTCACGCATGCCGATCAAAATTTATTATCCCACAATTTTATTTTGAATTATCGGAACGTCCCGTAGTAGTTATCGGAGCGATCGATCATCCAGCTTCATTCGAATCGAGATCATCCAAATTCCTAGAATTCGAGCCAGTCGAGTAAACTTCGTCTCGTCGTGCTTTTTCAGCAGAAAAAAGAATGAGAGAAAAGTCGTAAAGGAGACGGGTTCGTTCGAAGGTGGCCCGAGGCGATCATGAATAATTCATCAAAACCGACGAATCCCGCGTTATTGTCATCTACGTACGCATCGATCGAATTTCAACTCTGGATCTGAAAACCGTCGCACGTGATTTCTTTCTGTGCTTCCCCTCTACCTGTGCGCGCGCGCGCGCACGAAGGTCACGGTGATGTTAGTAACATTATACTCGCGGTGAAGGATCGTCGATGATTTTACAAAGTCAATTATGAGATTTAATTAGGCGTGCTCATGATGCAAGTAGAAGTTATTACGCCGGCAACACTGTTAATCGACGTAAACTATTATCATTAGATCCATCTATCCTTATTACCTTTATTACTATTATTATTACTAGAATGCGGATCTTTACGCATTTATAGGAAATTTGAATGTCCATGAAACTACAAAACGCAAACAATATGCATGAATATAAAAAAGATCGAAAGTAAAGTTTACGTTACAATATTTGCAGAACAAAATAAATTCCTATTTAGGTTCAATTTTTGTAGGCACGTTTGCGAAGATTTTATTTTGCATAAAGATCCGCAGTCTAATTATTACCGTTGTTACTTTCGAACCTCTTTATTTTTCAGGCACATGTATAGGACATCGTATAGGGTCGACGTATAGATTTTTGCTAAGGATTTTGTTATCTTTTTTTCTATGTATCTATACATTCTTCGACTCGTGAATAACAGAAATAGAAATTGACAACTCGAGTCACGCAATGGATGTTGATCGATTGATGAAAGACAAGATTTCGTAGTATCTAATCATCGACTCAAACAGTTATATTATGAAAGAATGAATGCGTTCTTTAGTCGTAGGAATTATAAACAATACGTTGAAATTAACGTTAATATTTATGACGGCACCAAGAACAATTTATTTTGTGTATCATGAATCACCGAAGGGATGGAACGATGAGGTTATGTACAGGTGAATATCCCTGTTGAGATCCCTCTCGAGAGGTGCCAATTGTTACCTACGGTTGGCATGCCTGTAAATCATATGACCCAGTGACTCATGGCTCGCTACATATTCAACGAAACCATTTGAAAGGAATTACCGCCGTCTCTCATTAACGTGGTAATGATTATCATTGGCATGATTTTCAACGCGGATTGTGTTTCACTTAAAGATCTATAGCTCGATAAGTACGCTGGGGATAATTTATGATAGACTACCGACGCGCTCGTATATAATCGACTGCAAATTATGTTGCACTTGAAAAAATTGTCTGCCTTATATGTATAGCAGACTCGATTAAAGAAGATTTAAACTGATCACGTTTCCGTGTAATTTTCCGTTTAACGGAAATTATTTTTAAAGAAGAATATCAAAGACACGCTTTAAATTAAAATTTGTGTACAGGGAACCATAGGTATTTCTCTGCATTATAAAATAATACTAACATATGTTAAATATATATTTAATATATATTAAATTTATATTTAATAACAATATCAGGCGAAGTCAGAGATGAAAAAGAAATTATAGAAACCGAAACAAATTTACGTAACGCTACAAAAATAAGCATTAATAATATGACGATAATGTCGTAAAGAGAACGAGATAATAGTTTTAGTAAATAATGCATTTTTCTTTGTACACATTCGAAGATAACAATAAACACAGAGCTACAAAATCTCTTACTTGTGACCTTGCGTCACCTCGATTATATCACGCACTCTTGAATCCCTCTAAAAAATATACTTCCAAATATTCCAAGAAAGAATGTTACAAGAAAGTTGTGTAGAAGTAACGCTCTAACAAACACGAAAGAAAACCGCATAGACCACCGTAGTAAATCTGATATTTGATTGTTTTCTTCTCGTGGAGCACTGCGGAATGAAATTAAGCAAGGGTTGCTCTAAGAAGTATTGATCTCAAGATTAAAAATTCGTGAAACGTTTCGATGAAAAAAATTCGCGCAGTCGGCGCTGGAGAGTGCTGGCATCCAGCGTCGAGACGCCGAACCACTCGATGCGATAGGAAGCATGCATTGCATACTATGCAGCAGTGACACATGCACCAATACACATAAGTAGTTACAGTTATCGTTACGCCAGGGAATATTAAATTAGTTCTGTGTAGTATGAAAGTACAACTGCCACATTGCCTTACAAAACATGGGAGATAAAGGTAACGAATCATTAAAAAATCCTGCTATTGCCATCTCGATCATCGCGAGGTTATTTTATCGCGGTTAAGATCCATCATCTTTGACCGCATTTTCCAGACTATTCGTAGGTTATCGAAGCTAGACTCACACGAACCTATTAACCTTTCGAACGAACAACAATCGCGTTCGGACAAAATCCTGAAAAAATCGTATCTCGATGCATTTTCTAAGACCGGTTTGTCGCTGGTGTGTTAGGTTAGGTTCGTATCTGGGTCATTTGAAAGCGCGCCACTTCGAACTTGTCAGCTATCGAACTTTGCATTCTTCGTTCCCAACAGACACTTCGATTTTTCGTCGTTTTCCCGCGTTCGCGTTGTTTCCATGAAACTCCACACGTTCGATCGTATTATACTACGATTCCAACTCTGTGCGTACGCGACCCAAAACTGATCTAATCAGCGATTGTATTTTTATCAATTTTATTGCTACGATTCAATTTTATCAATTTCGTAATAGTTACTATTCCATTTTCGTTACTTATATGTTTTAATTTACAGTGAAGGATTGTTGCGAAAAGTATACGTTTTCTTTTTCAATTATATTTCGAATAATGATATATATTCGACAGTTATAAAGTTCATAGTACGCGAAAAACATTTTGGCGGGACACCATCAACTAATGCGGCCTAGTGGCGCCATTAACTAATGCAATCTAAAGTCGTCGTATACCCTTGAGCCTGGCCTGCTTATATGAACATCGATATACTTCTCTTAGCTGCTTCAGCGTATACAATTCCGCGTAACGATATTAAATATTTAGGTCGATCTTCAATTATCTATTACATGGTGTCCCAAAAATGTTGTAACAGCTTGGAAGGGGTGGTTCGGAAGGTGATTTGAAACAACTTTTTCCTTAGTAAAAATGTTGTCCGAGGCTATGTTGAGGAGATATTAACGGAAAACATTGACCAATCAGAGCGCGAGTATGCCGATGGAGCGCTCGCGGTAGCGTATGAGCCCAGCCGCTTAGCACGTTAGCCTTCGCTACCACGGCCGCTCCAACAGTATCCACGCGCTCCGATTGGTCAGTGTTTTCCGTTAATATCTCCTCAACGAAGTCTCGAGCAACATTTTCGCTAAGGAAAAAGTTGTTTCAAATCACCTCCCGAACCACCCCTTTCAAGGTGTTACAACATTTTTGGACCACCCTGTATTTATTTTCCTCGAGTAGAAGATACTCAAAAAAAAATAAAAAAAAATAAAAAATCACAAACGTACAACACATTTATAAAACTTGATTTTTTCCGACTGACGTTTGAAACCTCGTCAAATACGCCTACGTGCAATAAGTATCGACTAACGCGATTCCTTATAAGTCATTATTTCTATTTGTGTCGGTGTAATTTACTTTCTATCGGTACAGCTATAATAACAAGGTTTCTATTGAATTATCACGATGATACGATACATATAATAAGGACAAAGTACAACAACACGAGTATGTGCGTACTCGCGTTGAAAGATTATGATGTTAATGCTTATGTTTGCAACTGATATGTTACTCTCTAGATCTAGTTAGGAACGTGAAGCAATTATCAGTGAATTAGAAAGTACAACGAGGAGATAATCGAGATCAACAGCGAAACCTTGATAATTATTGTGTTCTTGAACGAGTAAATTGTACGGATCTGTTTTATCATTTTTAATCGTACCACGGGCAATATTTACAAAATGATCAAGAAGACTCGAGAGATAATATTAAACAAAATTTTCAAAATTTCGAAATTATTTCAAACTACAATAATTACGGAACTTCTGTAGAATGTTTATTTATTACGAAATTTGTATTAGAAAAACGTGGATACTGGAAACATAACCAAAAAAATAATAGATATTTTTTACAAAGATATTAAGTATCTTTATTTACTATGTATAAAAACAAAATGCGTTCAGATATGTGCGGACTATAGAATCGACCCAAATATTTAATGTTATCAGTCTGATACTAGCAAGAAAGTACCAAAATAAAATTGTACACATTCTACTTCAAAATCTCATTCAATTGTCCAGTAAAACTACCGCGATGAGAATTTACGGTCTGGCTTCTAGCTCGACACATGACAACAATTGAATTCTCGTGACGATAGAGATTTCAACTGACACAAATCACTTCGCTTGATTTCTAAACTAGAGGAGACTAATCGTAAATCGTGTTTAGGAGCTCTCAACGAAACCGTATAATCTATAATCGCGAAAATCTTAGGACAACAAACCGATCGATAATATAGGTGTTCTCTGTACGCTCAAATTAAATCTTTACGATTCAAGTTAACAAAAATTGCTGTCCCGAGCAATTCGTAGAATAGAGAAAGTATTTTCAATTTAAAATAATATTACCACGTGTCTTTTATAATAAAATTTCTTACGTTTATCGTGACGAACGCGTTTAAACATCGTTGCATAAAATTGTAAAGAGAACTCAGAGTAGTTTGATGATAGGAGAAAAGTCGAAGTTATAATGTAGTACTTTTCAAGCTCGCGATATGAGTATATTTATTTACCGACTAAATATGTTTAGAGCATCACGTGCACTTCAGTGGGGGAAGCGGCCTTGGGAAAGACAACAATATTATGATACAACCCCAGCGACACGGACAAATAGATGTTCATCTTGGATTCTTACAGCTTCATCACAGGTTGCATCACTATAATTTCTTTTTTAATTAATTCTAATTGTTCGCGTCATAATGTACTATGTTCTTTTTTCAGGTACCACGTGGACTTCTCCGTCCCATGGAATCTATGTGTACATGGTGATGGGAAGACACTAGCCCCTGCCATAGTCACTGGAAATCACAATCCTAATTGTCACATTGTTGATTTGGGACAAGAGAAGGATGGCCTGAGGTACGATACATTTCTTTCTTACACAGTGTACAGTCGATTGTATCTTTTTGTATTTGATCTCTTTTTCTCTGTAACAGGTTGAAGGTGGCGCTGCTGGCGTACAAAGAGAAGATCCTGAAGGAGGAGGTGGAGATAATGTGTTGCAAGGCAGGAACGCCGCTAAAAATCCAATTGAACGCGCGTGTCTTGGGGAAAGACAAGGGCACCCCGTTGCTGAGGAACGGTATACGCAGTATCGGAGTGGAGAGACCGGACGAAGATGAGGTCTCCGAGTAGATCTCGCTGATACGTTACTGTAGCTCGAATATCTAAGAGTCGAGTGTTTTTTCCACAGGTGCTGGGTATGAAACTGAGAGCATCCCTGAGCATGCCAAGCCGACAGAATCTTTGAACAGAAAGCTAGTGTCCTGGTTCACGAAGAACGTCACACGTTCCGGGTTAACGACGAAGAATCTCTCAAGAGATGAAACCAGAGCACGAGAACGTTTCTCATTTCGAACGTTGAACGTGCAATTCTTCAGAGAATCGCGGCGACTAATGGATCTTGGTGATCGCTATTTTAGTAGACATATGATATCGAATGCACGTGTCTTAACTTTCAAACGTAGGAAACCACATATGACAAACCAAGAAGAAGAAAAAATGAACATAATCTACTTCACCCCTTAAAATTGCACGTCGTAACTTTCAAAGTACACAACGTTCAGTGACGAGCTTCTCTCGAGTTTGTTGCGTTGGCCTAGCGTAGACCAACGCTGGGACTCTCTCCTCTTGCGTCGATTTTACGGAGACGATGGCATTTCGGCGCAAGAAGCTAAAGTGTTCCTTCAATTAGCCTTTCTCGAAGGATCGCAGCCGGGTATATGTAATTACGAGTAACTGCTAAGTGCCACATTTGCCTACTGTTATCTTCTTCAACGAGTACGTATCACGCAATGCCTATAAAGTTTACTACACCTTTTAATAATCACTGTCAATCTACCTGTAATAAGTGAGATTGTATTTTATTATCGTTTTACATCGAACGTAGGCTTTAAAACATTCAATCAAAACGAACGAACTATACGAACGACGACGCTATTTTCTAGTTCCTCGCTAAGCTAAAAACGAATTATTAAAAACGAACGACTTCAACGAAAAATCAAACGCCTTGTGTTCCGTCAATTGCCCTGCGTTAAACCCAGTCCGTGATTAATATGCAGAGGGTAAACCGACACATCCGGATCCTCAGAGTCGAGGATACCTTTAAACTTGATATAATCTGCTGGATAAAAAGTTAATTAGCCAATTAAACTCTCGCAACTACAATTACGTTACTTTCTCCGTTACGTTGAATTAGATCTTTATCTTTTCGTCGAGCAGAAACAAAACTAGGACCTTGCTAAGGATAGAGGTCACCTTGTTAGCGTCAGCACCGAAAACTTGACTTTTTCATGGGAATGCCGGTGGGTCCGTCGACGAATTCGCAGATATTGAAGCCAAGCTTGGCCAGAGGATGACAGTTGCTTTTGGGATTGCCCCACTTGCCCCTGAAAGTCATCCAAGTCGGTAGAATGCCATTGTCCTCTTTCAGAAGCATTTCCATCTTCTTCCACGTCGGCCAAGCCGTACCGAAGCCGCTTTCGTCGTACAAGCGGGGTAACCTGACGAATTTGTGTTTTCCTGGCGCTGTCCAGAGTCCGTGAGATCCACGAGCGCTGAACAGTATCGGGTGCGAACCGCCAGCGGTGAAAACTCTTTCTGGGAAGATGGGCTTTTGAAAGATCCCTTTGCGCGTCTCTTGACTTTCGTAAACGAAGGTACCACTTCGTAGATCGTATCTGTAGAACGCTCCAGCGTCGTGGGCGGACACGTACATCGCTGAAGGGTGACTGGCATCCTAAATTAAAACAGGAAAAGGTGTTAAAGCTATACGTTATTCCGCTATCGTACTACGCTACGTTCAGCATGGCTAAATGTCCAGGTAAACATAACAACGATTGAGTCTGATAGGTATAATAGTATCAACCTGAAGAGTGACACGTGGCTCTTCTACCTTGAAATAAAGACTCATGTGTTCCCAATCGCCCACGTGACTGCCATACTCTTTGAGGATTCCAAGGCACATTCCGCCTACAGTGGGTATCGGCCAGCTACCAAAAAATCCGAGATCCAGAACACAGACTGCCTTTCCCTCGCTGAACGGATAGAACATCCAATAGGTCACGTGAAAGCGCAGCTTCCGGGACCTGTTCCCTTTTTTCTTCTTTTTTTCGAAATCTACGGTTTTCTGCAAGCAGTTACATAAACAGGTTGAGAAATTGAAGAGAATTAAATTAATTAGTGGATTTCATTAGACTTTTCAACTTCTATTTTAAGGGTTAGGTCCACTTTATAGGTATAAATTATTATGTTGTCCCGAAAGTTTCTTTCGCGAGTTGCACACAATTATTTTTAGTGGTCGTGTTTATATACATAAATAGACAATCTAATTTCATTGATATTCATGTTGTAACAGTAATGGAGCAAAATGTAATCGTGCACAATTCAGTAACGTAACATAAAACATAAAATATTGTGCATGTATTAATTATTAATAAAGCGAAAGAAACTTTTGGGACAACCTAATATTATGGTAACATAAAACAAGTTTTCGCTCAGTTTGAAACAGAGATAAGTAAACAGGATCACGTGATTAGACTCTCATTGGTTACATCGAGGGATATGTACCTCCGCGCCAAGTTTAGAGTCGCTCTTCCAAACTTTCCCCGGGAGATCGTTGGTCAAGATCATCGACGACCCAAAATCATCCATTACGAGCGCACTTCGCGAGTGTATCATCACCTCGCTCCCTTTCTTCCATAATTTCTTCTCTTCTCTCGCCGCCGTTGATTTTATCGCGTCCTTGGAAGCCTCCAAAGGATTGAGGCAATTCTTGATCACAGCGTAGACAGGCACCGAATCCGCTGGCTTCCGACCGTACAAGAAGGAGGATCGATTCCTTAACAACGTTTCTACGAATCGACCACCCATTATTTTCCGTTAAGAGATAACATTTAAATACATATACGTTACAATGTATCATTTACCTACGTCGATACTGGTACGAAGGTAGTCATCGTCGGTTTGCATGTTGTCTAGGAACTCGGGTACCCCGAGAGGCAGAAACTGTTCTCCAGGTGCCAGCCATACCAGTGGGGCCCAGTCTCGTACTAATCTTTTTGCTGTAATTAATAATTACCACGATAATGCGGCATATCTCTTTTGCTTTGATAACAAATATTGATCACGAATTGAAAAAAGAACATTCCTTGTAACTTAAAAGAAGCGAGCGAACTGAATTTAATATTAATTGTTACCATACGTAACGAGAAATAGTTTCATAGAAGCTATATTTATTGGAACAAATATTATTTTACATAATAATGGGGGAAAGGGTTACAATAGTTTGCTTTCGATACTTTCAAGGGCCCATTCCCTCGATACGTCTTCATTTATAGGTTAGACCAATAGGGGCAACAGGTTGCTTCGAATTAATATCTGATACTTGCAATCTTCTCGTCTACGTGAACCGATTATCTAATTATCCTTCGTGGAGTATGTAAATCTTGGACGCGGAGGTTAATGGGAGAGAAACGCAGGGATCAGGCGCCGCATACGTCGATTATGGGCAACGACGCCAACGTTTGCCGACAATAACATAATATATTTATTACAGAACCTGTTCATTCGCAGTTCTCGTTTCGGTATGTGGTACATGGATTTAGGTAGAAAAAACAAACAGCCTAGAGAGGTTCTACTTTCATTGCATCTGGACTCGGTAAGGTTATCGAATGATGGGTATGTGTGCGCATCGTCCCACACTATCCCACATTCACCCACATGCAGATGCATCTCGAACCTGGTTCAGGTAAGACTCATAACCTCGTTATGTGCTCGATAGCAGTCGAAACAACTTTCGAGTTTATTTTACACCCAAACTCTTCGAAGTCCCGTAGCATTCCGTTCTCAACATTCTGAGACGATAAGATTTCTATCGGTTATTATTTAATAGTAAATTAAAGGCTCGCGTGAAAAATAGAGAAAGAACACAAACGATACGTATCATTGGAACCTTCAGGCCTTCAAACCTGTAATTTCTAAATTTCATAATGAGGGACTACTTTCACTATTGTTATCCACGTGTACGTCCAATTGTTATGTACAACTCATACAGCATTACTATATTCGGGGTTACGACGCGTTATCCATTATGCTTCCGCAATTAACCTCTCCAAGTATACAGGGTATCCCAAAAATGTTGGAAGTCGTTGAAAGAGGTGATTCGGGGGGTGATTTGAAACAACTTTTTCCTTAGCGAAAATGTTGTCCGAGGCTTTGTTAAGGAAATATTGACAGAAAACACTGACCAATCAGCGGGCGCTCCATTGGCATACTCGCGCTCTGATTGGTCGGGGAGCGCGTAGCCTACGTTATCACGGCCGCTCCAACAGTATACGCGAGCTCTAATTGGTCGCGGTTTTCCGTTAATATCTTCTCAACGAAGCACATTTTCGCTAAGGAAAAAGTTGTTTCAAATCACCTCCCGAACCACCCATTTCAAGCTGTTACAACATTTTTAGGACACCCTGTATACATCCCGATGCACCTGAACTTAGGAACAATTTGTAATAAATGTACTTACGACGCTTTGTTTAAAGCAATTTACATAAATTTGTTTTTGGGAGCTGCGAGCCGATTCCGTTTTGGTAAGACGCACGCTTTCCTAGATTGAAAATAGCGATCCGAGCGCTAGACAGCCGGCCAGCAATTCATTTAATTATCGTCGAAGCGTGTGTGCAATACGAGCGAAATCGAAGATTAATGAAAACTCGTTTTGGCCTGCTTGACAATCGCAAAACCGGTCCGAGAAATGGGACGATCGATTTTCAGCCTCGCAGCAATTCACGGTTGCGAGTTTTGTTCCTGGAACTAGATCGATATATTTCGAAACGGAGCTTGAAAATTTTCAAGCTTTTTTTTCAAGTGAATCTTTGGAACACCATTGGCTGAACTTCAAAATTAAGCATCTAGATTTTAAGATTATAGATAAATCGATGGTTAGTCACTCTGACTAGTTTCGATATGAATGTGTATCGTTTAAAATGTTATACAAAATAAAAAAAAAAATATTCGATATTTGAATACTTGATTCGAAGTCTATTCGTAGAGTGTCTGTTAAATGTAGCCCCAATTTCGAAGAAGCAGAGCGTTTGTCGACTCGTTGTGATGTTCACGCTAACTTAATAATTGTCTTAATAATTCGCGTGGTTGTCGTGAGATACAATTTCACCGTTAATCCGACGGTTCCTTGCTCAGAGGGGTTACCATGACGACCAATGTCCCGGTTCGAGTCGCTTTAGTGTTACAATTAACGAGCTTATCGTCTTACAATAAACACTCGTAAAGGAACCACGCGGTATCCTATACAGGGAAACTGCAACGAACTGTGGCAGCCACCGTCATTACGTAAATTGTAATTATCTGAAATTACAGCGTGGACTACGGAAACGTCGGGATCTACCTTCAACGATATCAGAATCGGAGTTCCTTTCACTAACATAAAACCATGTCGTTATTAACAGAAGTGAGCAGTAATTGCATATTTTCCGAGTACTCGTGTAATTAATTTACGATCTATGCGATCTAGTTATTAATGAATTAATGCCTGATGATTCGTTTCGATCGCTTCTGTTAGTCATTAATGAGTGATTATACGGTACTCGTAAGCGTAAATTATGGTAAAACGCCTGACTGTAACTATATCACGAACCCATGCGAGAAACGATCGTTTCGGTGGAAGCATCGATTATAATCGATATCGATCTCTTACCCCATTCTTCCTCGACAGTTCCCGAAGAATCCGCGATCATACGAACGATACACAGAATCGTCAGCAAACACTGCATCGTATTCGGCTTGTACGCACATTTTGACGTTCGAGTGCCCGGAAAAGTCCGTGAAACTCGAAATTTTCAAGCACCGTTCATCGTCGACGCGCCATTTCCCGCCACTTTTCCATCCCCGTAGCTGTCAAACGGTGATCGTCACCAGAGAACGTCCGCGACTTCGAGGTTAACGATCCGACGACGCTCGATCGTCCTGTTACCAGCCAGAGTGTTTCTCAGGTAACTGACCGATTCTCCGCGGTACCCTGTGCCTCTCACTTGCCAAACATTACCGTAGCTTACAGCTATCGTCGTGCACTGTTACGACGATGTCGAGGGAAACTTGCAACCGCGAGTTAACCCTTCTATCCGCTCGAAAGTCGATGTTCGACAAAAGGTTTCGTAATACATCGAAAAGGGAACGGATTATATTCGTACGGTTTAGAAAATAATCAGCGTAAGAACTGAAAATCTCCTGTACAGGGTGTCCCAAAAATGTTGTAGGTCCTTGAATAGGGTGTTTCGGGAGGTGATTTGAAACAACTTTTTCCTTAGCGAAAATGTTGTCCGAGGCTTCGTTGAGAAGATATTAACGAAAAACTCTGACCAATCAGAGCGCGAGTATGATGGCAGAGGGCGGTTACCTAGCGCGTAGCCTACGCCTACCGTGGACGGTCCTCCGGCATACTCGCGCTCTGATTGGTCGGGGAGCGCGTAGCCTACGTTACCACGGCCGCTCCAACAGTATACGCGAGCTCTAATTGGTCGCGGTTTTCCGTTAATATCTCCTCAACGAAGCCTCGGACAACATTTTCGCTAAGGAAAAAGTTGTTTCAAATCACCTCCCGAACCATCCCTTTCAAGGTGTTACAACATTTTTGGGACACCCTGTATATCTTTTCCTTCCGAGTTAACCCTTCTATCCACTCGAAAGTCGAACGCTTTTCGTTTCGCAACAATTACTACTAGAAATCGAAAGCGATGGTAGAAATTATCCGATTACTTCACGATTTTGACAAATTAATTTTCCTTTTGCTTCGATTCGTTCATTTTTAAAATTCGTTGGCAAACATGCTTCGTTTTCAAATTAAATAAGAATGCAGAGCAAAAAGGATTTGCGATTTCTGCTCGCAATTGCAGAACGGAGACGAAACGGTGAATCGGAAAACGTGGAAGTTGCACTTCCATACAATTAGTGAAAAAGAAAGCGTATTCTTGCACACGAAAATTACATTTATAAATGTATTTAAAACACTCTGTAAACACTTCTTCGTAATCCAAAAATGTTTCAAGTAACGTATTTGTAAAAAGATTCTTATCTTTAAGAAATTATTTTCCTGAATCGAAATCGATTCGTGATGTATCCGTCTTTATTAATCATTTTTAAACGCAGTGTGGGTGTGGTAAGCGATTCACGGTATACAAAGTTACTGTTACACTATTAAATTCACCGTGACTCGACTTTCTCTTCCGTAAATTTTATACTGTCAAGGACGTTCGCTGTATCGTGTTCGAAAACTTTAGTGTTGCTTCGTTAAAACACGATACGGTAAAAATTATAAATAATAATTTGCAATTATCGTAATCAAAGAAAAGATTAAGATACTTTCGTAACGATCATTCGAATATGTTTATAAAAATACCATCGGTTTAAGTTCAATCATGTATTTTATTATTGTTTTTTTCATATAAAAGCATAGTCTAATTTACATTTTTGATAATACATTTCATACGCTACTGTGAAAGCTGTCGATTTATCGGTTCAAACATCACATTTTCCACTTCACCCTTTGCGGACAGGGGTTTAAATATTTCAGACAACTTTTACCATTTTGGACGCTGGTCGGAAAATTCTTGACATTTCCTTAACAAATAGATAACAATTAATTCTCTGCGATTTGTATAGCCACAAATGTCCGTCCGCAAAGGATTGATACTTAGAAGCTAAGTGAAGCACTTCCATACAAATTTGTCGTTCGTTTGAAAGTGATTTTAATTTGATGTCATAATCCTACGTACTATAATAGATGAACTTGAATAAAATTTCGATAATACAAACGAAGTACTACCCTGACATTCATTAAAAGCTAATTTATGAAAGGCATAAGTGAATCAGGAGCCACTTATCGAGAATTTGAACTTTCTTAAAATTACCGATTTCGTAAACTTAAAGTATTTATATTGTAATTTCGTGTGAATGACAAACTGAAAACAGTTACATGACACATCGGTCTTTTTTTTTTTTGTATTAATTTATTATCACCGCAAACAGTATATCGTTTCTTCTTGAAAACTTGTAACACAACACATCATTAAAATCTAAAGTTTCATTCAAACTGTATAATTACCCAACCTGGTAATAGGAAATTAGTATTATAAATAATGCATCGTAAAAATATGCATTTAACAGTAAGCATGATATGTAATAGCATAACGAATAAACTGTAAATAACTTATTTATACTTGACCTTATTTATACTATGCTTAAGCGGTTGGTATTGCAATACACGAAAGAATGAAAATCACAAAATGTATCTTTTAATAAATATATAGAATTTTTGTCTGGGCTATTATTATTACCTCGCTGTATTTCTTCCATCGAGTATACAGTACTTTGCAGAAGTATGTGAATGCTTCTGAATCAAATATTTCGTACCGCAAACAACGAAGTTATTATAATTGTCAGGAACACACAGGTGTCAAGGTTATACATGTTTAAGTTTCGATGATTGAAATTTTATTTAGTTTTTAATTAAAAAAATATATATATATCCATGGATATAAACTATACTTACGAAACATTTTTTGGAAACTTTAACTATACAAAGAGTAGAAAAGTATTTGAATGATTAATTATTCACAACATATTTATAGAGTAATTGAGATTTATCATTTTGTTGGTCCACTGTGAGCATTTATCACATATTGAAAGTATGTCATTTCCTACTGTGTATCATTTGTCAGTAACAGTATACCTTACATTATTTCAAACCTTTACGTTCGTTATTTTACCGCTTCGTTCAAACTCGTAAGAAAATTATTTAATTTCCTGTCAATTCCTGTGTTGATCTTTGGTGCTATCGATCGCTACTAAAGCAATGTTTAATGGAAAATTTTATCATTCAAATACTTTTGCAACATTTGTGCAAACAATGTTTTGAAGAAATGGTTTGTAAAGATTATTTACATTGTCAGATGTTTTTTGAACTTAACCTGGCACTTATATGCGACTGCTTATAATAAAAGTGATCTAATGTTCGTATTGCAACTTAACAGTTTTGAACTTTAAATGTTTACTTTGAAAACATCTGAGTACTTTCATAAGCCACTGTATATATTCAATGTTTTATTTTGCCATATTTTACGAATTTGTACTATAACATTCTTTCTATTATTACTTTTGATGTAATACAATAAAGGGATGAAATATTAAAAAATTATTATCTATAAAACATACATGTACATATTTGAGTATTTCCAGAGGGCTATAATAGTTACACTTCCTTTAATTAGAAATGCATTATAAATTTTATCTGAAAACGTTATTAAATTTACGCGTGCAAAAATGATTCCATGAATATTGTCCTACACGAATTGCTTATAAGGTGAAAGAAAAATTTTATGAATTGTATATAAATTACGAAATCTTTACTATGCACTGCATTATTTGAAACACTACAGTAATACCAAACTATAATATACAGCGTACTGTACAGTTATTTCTTATGAGCTTGAAAACAGTATATAGTTCGTTAAATCAATAGTATAATACATATAACCCTATAAAACATGTTATGTCGAAAAGATAAGGCATGCAACAAGATTGCTCCTCAAAAATTTTGTCTCAACCAAAGAGCAACAAAGAATTTCACCTTACATAGAATGGAAAGTGGCAGTCCTTTCATTTAACATTTCAAGTTTAAACAATTATTTCATACTTCAAGTACAATCGACTCTGATGAAAGATGTTCAAAACAAATTTAACTACAGTACAAATACACTTTCTAGTATGTATATTGTAACCTCAACAAAAACATAGTGAAATTAATGAAAACATTGTTCGTATCAATTTTGTCACTTGTATAAAACGGGACCTCTGCAATTTGGGCACAATCGCTGTAAAATATCTCAAATATAATGCACTAGTAAAAATGAAACAGAATATTTTGTTTGTTGCATTGTTTGCATCTGTGTAAATCCACAGTAACATTGTTATATTCATATAATATACAACTTACTCGCGACGCTGCTTGCATCCATTGGTCTATACACTCCTTATGGAATACATGACCACATGGCTGTAATGGAAATTTTTTTGCTTGTATTAATGTATCTAAACAAATGGAACAAGTGGAATCCTCTGTACGCCGACGACGGGAACGATTACTGAAAACAGAAAAAGGGTATCGCAGTGGAATCAAGCAAAACTTTTAATGAATATCAACTGTGCTTTTACTCACTTGCGATCATAAGGGGACCACCTATTGGTAGGTTCGTAGCAAGTATTCGTATTTGTACTTCTGTGGCCATTATTATGTGGTTCCTGATTTTCTGTTTCTCCACTTGTGAACATATAATACAAGGCAGTGGCTATAGTAATACCGAGAAGAAAAACTACACCCGGATGCGCCATTTCTTGTCATTGACGATTAAAATAACTATAGGGCACTTATAAACAAATTCAACAAACGAAAGTCAAATATCAAGTTTGTTCGACTTACGGCGCTATCCGCTATGTAAAATTATTTACGTATGTATGTGTATACAGGGTGTTCTAAAAATGTCCCCGCGGACGCTCCACCAGCATGCTCGCGATCTGATTGGTCGGGGTTTTCTGTTAATATCTCGCCGCGGACAACATTTTCGCATTGAGCTCTATCCTAACGTTAGGATAGAGCTCGATGCATGTTCGCTATGGAAAAAGTTGTTTCAAGTCACCCCTCGAACCATCCTTTTCAAGGACCTCCAACATTTTTGGGACACCCTGTATAGGTACTCGCTTGGAACTACCGTGGAAGGCGCGGTTGCAGGCCGGCCAATACAAATCTGGTTAGCAATGTCAATAATAGCAATGGCGAAACCAGTTATATCGAAACTTCCGTGTTAAAATTTATAACAAGCCCCATTTAGAAAGAAGGTAACTCTAACCTTTAGTTTTCATTTTTAAGAAAAACTAACTAATTGTGATATCGAGATACGTATTCAACTTTACAGGTTGTGCAACGAAACGCTAGAAAAAAGATAAGCTAGTAAGAAATCTTGAAATACTCTCGAATAATTATTGAAAAATTATTGTGTCAATGGTTCCGCGATACTTGTATTTGCGATTTTTATAATTATTATTTTATCTCAGCCTGCAATCTATTTTATATATCGTGTACTGAAATGGGAATTTATATTTCAGGAATCTTGGCTCAAGATTACGATGGGACTTTTATTTTTATACCAACCTGCATGCGCAAGTTCTGTTTACCGCTGTTTACCAGAAGTATTCAGTACGTCAAATTCAATGTTATCTATTTTAAAATAATGATTACGTAACGCTGAGACTATTTTGTACGATGCGTAGATTTTTATTTACCAATAGTTACAAAATGATACATCGTTCGCTATTTACACTAATTTCGCTATATAATTTAGGGAAATAAAATTCTAGCGTGAAATATCTACAGCCACGTGCCTCCAAATTTACGACGTATTGTTTAGTACATTTATGTTAGTTTTATACTGATTTCATTGATGACACTGAATTCAATAATAATCATATATATTCTTAGACATGTTTGTCAATATTTGTCCTATAAAAGTGTTGGAAAAATTTTCTTCTAAACAATAAATTACCGACAACCACCAAATATCTGTTTGATCGTGAAACAGACTATTGTCGAGCAAATAAATAAATAAAACTTGGAAACCGTTATCGTAACACTCTGGACTAGTAGAAACGTGTCTGACCAACCACTTTAATCACTAATTTCCATTATTATGATTTTTTTTTTTATAACGCTCATTTCAAATTTGACAATCCAAAATTGGCGTAGACTGTGCCGGCGATAATTTAATAGGGGTTATCGACGAGAATGAATTCTGAATGGTCTGCAATGCCGGCCTTTGTTGTTTAATTAACATATGTCGAAGAGATTGCGCTTCCTCTCTAAGTGTTATTATCTGCGCCCTCAAAATTGCGTTCTCGTGCTCCAACATAGTCGCTCGTAGCGCTATCTAGAATGCGACATCGATTTAAGAATTGGTAAATGTAGCGAAAACAGAAGAAGCTTGAAAATTGTTTTATATCTGTCTACACACGTGGTCCTCTCGAATTTTCCGAGCATCCCTGGACTTCTTCGCAGCCTGATTGTTGCGTTTACGTCTCTCGTAATATTTCTCGTCCTTCTGATTGTCAGGAATTGGCTTTTTCTCGCTTCTAGGACGTCGCTGCACGTTCGTGATCCCGTTCGAGCCCAGAAGGTGACGAGTTACCATGCCTATTTTACCGACAGTCGGTTAACCGAGTTATAACTTGAACAAATTATAAACAGTAAAAAGTCTTTTGGGATTTTCCCAAATAATGTTACATTTTAGTTATGAATATCTGCGGTGGTCGAAGACGTTTAATAGTTTGTTCATTTTACGACTGGAACGATAACTTAAACGTTTCCTTCGAGCAATATACGTGGAAATATTGTAAAAAATTGTGTCACTTGTAGAAACAGGAAGTTTGGGACGAGGTAACAAAAACAATTTGCCCCGGGTGAGGATCGAACTCACGACCTTAAGATTATGAGACTTACGCGCTGCCTACTACGCCACCGAGGCAATTGAAATTCAACATTTTTAATATTTAATAATTTTTGTAGACGATAAATTTAATTTTTTGTCGTTTAATTTGGTAGAAAACGGATCGACTTACTCGTATTTACGTTCGAGAATGGTTGAGGCACGCTCAGGGGTTGCATTAAAGGTGGCACAGTCGATAAAAATGGAGGCTGGAGCAAGGATCCCGGAAGTGTAAACGTTGCTGTCAGCGACGATGGTGTCAATGGCGATGGCGTACGACCGATCGTGGTGTCCGGTGTATTAGAATTTAGAACGTCACGATCCCCGAAGCCGTGGTCTCTAGAGTTGCATGCCTCGTATCTGTACAAGTCTACAAATACATTATTAATTTCATTATTAAATTCATTACTAATATCGAATTTATTGCTCTTCGCATATTCGTGGATAGTGTACAATTAAATCACAGAAATCTAACTTCTGATTATTTACGATACTGCATCGTGGATATTTAATATTCATTTTAATTTGTAATTCACTTTACTTAATTTTTACTGTGATCTATTTTACATATGTATTAAAATATTTCTGTAATCGTGAACGTTTAATTGATCTTGCAAATAGTTAATACAGTGGATGTATATATTACAGGGATGAAAGATATAATAATTCGCATTTCTGTGAAATATTTGATTTGTCTATTTGTATAACACAGAATATAATAATTAATATTATACAACTTTATTACGTCGTAGTAGTATGACATTGATTTTGAAGGAGCTCAACTTCACAGCCCCTGTGGCCTAATGGATAAGGCATCGGTCTCCTAAACCGGGGATTGTGGGTTCGAGTCCCACCAGGGGTAAATTCTTTATTAAAGATATATTTTTTTATCATTTAATCATTTCAACGATCACAGTCTTTTTATGCAATATTAATAAACGTAACACAAAAAGAAATTCGAATAATTAAACAGAAATTATTGATGATTGAAAACGAACGATTGAAATCCTTTGTAATTAAGTCAGTTTCTAACAATACTTTAATTACACGTATTAATGGGATAATAGTTTCAGTAACGTTAGGCGAATTCGTGTGCTTAATCGATCCTCCAGCATTAAATAAGTAACATCGCGTGTCCTCGCGAAATCTTCCTCGATTCGTTGTGTGTTCTACGGAATTTAATTTTTATAAAAACATTCTCACGTTTCCTTTTGCTATTAATTTCAGTAAAATGAGGAGAGGGGGGCAAAGATAAAGTTTTAATCAATTTAAAACAAAAGTAATATTGTTATCGTGATCAAATTTTATTCTTTAACATCATACAAAAATAAATGATATAAAAGTGTAAAGAATACATATTTATATATTTCTTTTACAGTATACAAACAGAATTGTCTTAAAAAGAAAATGATAAAGCTATCCTTTGGAAATGATTGTTTTCAAAAATACATTCGTCTATATGTATCTGTATAGTGTAAATAGGGTAAAAGAAGAGTTTCATACAACACGAGATTAAAATATAAAGCTAAATACAAAGTGAGATTAAACAAACAAGATGACGAATATAATTTATTCAATCTATGTTTAATTAACCAAGTTTGCAGAGAAATGTAGAAGGATCGTTTGGGTAAAATTGAAATAGAAAAAAAAAATGAAACCTCCACCGTGACAATGTGCCATTGGTACATTGCCGTGACCAGGATTCGAACCTGGGTTACTACGGCCACAACGTAGGGTCCTAACCACTAGACGATCACGGCTGTTGGAGGACTTGCGAACGAGTTTAAAATCGGCCATACTCGAGTATCACGTCGACCAACTTGTTCATTTATCCGTGACTTCAGTACACAGCAACACGTATTCGAACAAACGCTCTATAATTGCACAATGTAATTATTACTTTCTCTAAAGGGCCATTATTTTACTTGAAACAAATAAAATTAATCCACGATATTCGAATATTTTAATTACGAGTATTTTATTACGGGTATTCGTTCGATTTATATTTTATTTATTCTTACATCACGGCTTTCCATTTAATTTATACATTTTATTTATTTATTCCAACATCACAGGTTCTCGTTTAGTTTATTATAATTTATTTACACTGTACAGTATAGATAAATTTTATTCGCTAAAGCAGCGTGGCGTGAAAGTGACCATAACAGAAAAATCACATGCCGACAAAAACGTATTTCAGTGGTAAAAGATTGAAAATAAGAACACAAATCAATGCGTAATTTCTGTAAGAGACAATAAGCGTGTTTCGACACTTTCATTTTGTTCACTCTTCGAGGTCTCAAAGCTATGTAAATTCTCGTGCCAGGAAGGCTGTGCCAGCGGAAATTAATTTCGTGCGACTTTAATCGAGGCAGGTACCTGAGGTGGGTCCGAAGAGGTTGTAACTCCTCAATAGGTGCAACGCAGAGAATGCGCCGGACACTGTGCTTCCGGTACAAATCGTCCTTGCATGCGCGTGGGAGCTCATTCCTTCGAGAAATCCTTGCGAAACTCGTGGACACTGATCGAGTCACGTGAAGTCAATATCGGATTACTCTGTTCTCTCATCAACGCATCGAACACGCAGAAATTATGAACCGAACGTAACAGTCGATGAGACGCACAGGAAAACTCCTGCAGGGTTCCATTTGTCCTATGGAGTGTACATCGAGTGTACTAATTACCAATCAATTTGAAATAAAAAATACATTCTTCGTCGCGCTGAGGACGTTTCCTCTTCGACGTCATCGCCTTATCGATCCTCCTGGTCCAGGTCGAGACGAACCTTGCTGTTAACGATCAATGTTTCTCAGGCCACGCGAATTTTGCCACCTAAATCGAATTTAATCGAATTTTTAGTAATAAAAATTCCAGATTTACAAAAATCGAATATATAGAAATATGTGACTGATAGCTTTATAAATGACACTTGTATAGTAATGCATATATTGTACGTAATATATTGTACGTAATAACACTTGTGTTGGAACTAGCAAACATTGACTCTCGTTATTATACACTCACAAATTCTTTTACTATACAGAATTATTAAAAGTCGTACTCAAAGTTGCTTCTTTAAAAAATAGTTCAACGAGTACGATTCACGAATATAATTATCGAGAAATTTAATTCGACGCGTTTTTTGTTATTATACACCCACGAGTTCATTTATCATAGAGAATTATTAAAATTCATACTCAATGAAAATATATCTTGTACATTTACAAAGATGATTAACTGAAAATTGAATTCAGCGCGTTACCCTGCCACTTTCAAGGTGAACGAGGTGTTTCACAAGTTTCTCCAGTTATCACCGGAAGTATCTATGTCTTCGAGATCCTCGACGCTTCTTCGAGACCAACTGGTTCCAAACTTCCAGACTCGAAGTTCCAGTCCACCCTGTTGACGTCTGACGTCACGTGGTACCTTCTGCATACCGTTCCTCCGGAAGAATTTCCAATTCGTCCCCGAGCAGGGTGATTCCCGCCCCTCGACGCGTGCGCAGGGACGAGCAGAACGATCGTTCCGCCCCTGAGTCGTTAGGGGTGAGTAGTCAACACGCGTTTCGAGTGGTCAAGGAAGCCAGACGGTCTGGCCAATCCGAGAATGTCAGTCGGAACCAACGAAGAACAATTGCTCGCACCCCCTCCTCCACCCTCCGGTCGTATCACGACCCTAATCTTCGATCTGCCGTTATAATAGGTCGCTCCTCGTATCTTGCATGACCGACGAAGATTCGGATCAGCAAAAATTGTTCCAGCTGGTCTCGTTTGCGGAAGTTTCCGGGAATTGGTGGCTCTGCGCAAGAAGCTTCAAGTTTTCGACCACTTCTAACTCGGAAAGTTTTCTAACAGTAAAAAGAAGAGGTTTTTCTTTACCTTGCGATTGCGGTGTATTTTATTAATAGAGATGGTTCCTGTAGCTTCGATTGCTTGAAATCCTTGAAATCCTATAGCTGGATCTTTGTGCGAGGCAATTGTGTAGGCCTTTGCACAAATGGCACCGCTTTTCGGGTGATCGACGGCCGGTAACGAACACGTGCCACCGAGCATCGGATTATGTGTGCGTGTGTCCGTATGTATGAGTGTACTCTCGAAACTTGAATATTCAAAGAAACGCAACGAAAAATTAAATAACAACTGAAAATTTTGCAGCATTTTACCTTCTTTATCTCCGAGCAGCGAACCTTCCGAAAGAACCTTCTCTTTTATCGAATACAGGAAACACATTAATTCTTCAGACTTTTCCGCAGAGTTTCATCGCGAAGTTTCGTTCCTATGTGCAACTAATAAGCTATCCGCACTTATAGTCCTCGCGTACGCAATAAGAACGTCCCACCTGCGGCACCAGACCAGACAGAAGTCGGCTACGTGTTTCTAATGTCTCTGGGACAAACGACAGCTGACACGTTCATCCAGTCCGCGAATGTTTAATGGGGTCGGTAATTATTACGAACCAAATTAGACGACAACCAACGACGACGGTCAACAGTGGGAGGGGACTGCAACATTGATGAGACCTGGTCTGGGGCTTGAAATTGTTTTTAGTCGACATCATCAATGTTGCAACCCTCGAGGACTGATAATTAATGGTCAAACGGTCGTTTCGAGGGGGGCTCTGCGACTTGTTCTTTGATCCTCGAGCGAAAAATAAGTTTTCTTCGGCTGGAAACAGGGGCTCAGACTTCCATCAGTGTATTTAGAAGCGGTTCTTGTGTGAAAATATGTGGTACTAGCTGTACACCGGAATACTATTCTTATTCTACGTATACGACTCGTTTCGTCGCACTTGGTCGCACTACGCGTCAACCACTGTCAGCCATGCCGAACAGAGAAAAACAAAAGAAACATCTACGCCGATCAGTAGCCTCCTAGCGACGCAAGAATGCATCTATAGGATATTTGGGCACCGTGCGCCGATAAAGTAACCGAACAACGCTTTTCTTTCCACTCGATTTACAAATGTTTAGATCTCAAATTGAAAACGCATTTTTTTTATCAAAATGAAACACAGCCTATGTTACTCTTGAATAGCATAGCTTTCCATTAAACTGCAAATCTTGCATTAATTTCTCAATCTTCGATGCAACACTATTAATCCAATAGCACCGATAGTATCCAATAGTATAAACGAGCGATAGAAACGTCTGGGAATTCTTCTCCAGTTCGCGGGCAGGAAATGTTAGGTTGCGGAACGATAACTTGACGAAGAAAGTTTGCAGGCGCGACGGTGATTTACGGGCGTAGCATGTCCTCGATCGTGTGCCAGAATGGGACGAGCAATTCGGGTTATACCGACCGTTCGAATTTAACCTGCGGGGGAGTAGCTCGCCGGTGGGTTAAATAACGCCATTTGTTATCGTAATATCTAATTTAGCGAGCGAGGGGTGATGCGCCTCTGCCATGTGGCCGTGATCTCACGAGGCCGCAGTACAGGTGTCTTAGGAACAACAGTTTGCTGGAACAGGTAAGGTTCGCCAGGTGCACCGGAGACCGACTTAAAGAATGGGCATGAATCATTTTGGCTGATTTAAACAATTCTTAAGTAAATATATAGATATTCATTGGTACTAATTGGAGAACAGGCTATTTTATTAGAATTAAGGAATCTTTGGAATTAGAGATTTTGGTACTGGGAAGTATTGTGTAATAGGAGTTGAGCACACAATTTTTTAAATATATGGAATCTAGATACTAATTTGTACTACTCAGGAGACAGATTGGAGAAGTGTCTGAAGCCTGGAGACTCCAGGGTCCTCAGATTTAGCTTCCAGGAGTAAGTCATGTTAGTATTGGGTTGTCCGGAAAGTCCATGTCGATTTTTGGTAAATGGTACAGGTCTCTGAATATGTCGAAGTGGTTGAAAACAAATAATATGCATACATCTCTTAAAAGGTGGAAAGGTTGTGAAACAAAATGACACCTATGTAATTCAATAAATATATATTAAAATTTAAACGTGTTTTTGAATGTTTCTTAGAAATTGCCACGAACTTTCTGGACCTAATAGCATTGATTTTAATATTGAGGAACATTGTATAATAGCACTTGAGGACAGAACGATTTTGGCAGCCCTGTAGATAGAAGGCGAGCACGGTCTTCCCGCAGAGGTAGAAAACAATCAGCGAGATTGTCTCGACATTACGAGCCGCGTTCTCGTCGCTTTGTCGGACGCTCGTTATCATTATGTGGCTCGATGCGCGATAGCGAACGCCCCCGCGATGGGCACGGGCTGCTCGTGCGAACCCAAACACCTGTCCGCGGCCAACGGGTAACGTGACATCACGTCATGTGACCTCCTGAGCCCCCTGACGCGCCCCGAAACCCCTTCAATCCCCATTACGATGCGCGACCTCAGGGTAATCTGCCTAATCGCCGTCCTGGAAACGACGGATTACACACCAGCGCCCGATAGCCTCCTACTTTTAAGCTTTGTTTATTCGAGGGCGTAACTACCGATTCAGTTGTTGCACTGAATCCACACAGCGCAATTTAATTATTTACATTCTTCATAACTTATTATGTGGGGGCATATTTCGTATTGGATACGCGTATAGATTCTTTCATGAATTCCGTGGGAATTTGAAATCGAATTTATAATTCGAATTTATAATCTCCAAAAAAAGTGCAATTGGTAATTGGACTGTAATTGGTCGTTATTGGTAATTACTGTGTTTTTTAAATAAAAGGGTTTGAGGAATACAAACGAATCTTCATTCGTAGACAACTGAGAGTGAATAAAAAATTGCTGGGACACATGTGGAGAACGATTTATACGGACGACAAGAAATCACTCATGGGCGTTAAAAAATTTCTCTTCATGTTTGACAAAGTATGTTTGAGTTCAATGTATACCAGAGTTGCAACCTCTCGCCTCGAAGGATGAGGCAGAATATATAAAAATACAAAAGCATATTTCTGAATCTTATGATTCGTTCGTTAATATTTTTATGCCACAGCGATGCGAATAAAGAGAGTCTAAGAGTGTCGGAATATTTACTATAATTCAACATTTTATTTTGCTACAAAAATAAATGTACTCGGAATACGGGGTGTCCCAGAATCAGTGTAAGAACCGGAACCAGAATTTTCTTTGCGAAAATATCGAATATTGCTTCGATTTTGAATTATTAAGGAAAAACTACCGACCAATCACAGTGCCCAAGTAGCGCGTGCTCTTCTGCGGGAGGCGGGCCCGATTTGTGGGCGGAGCATCATGGCTCTCGCGAGCCTCTCGCGGCAAAGCGCGCGCTACTCGGGCTCTGTGATTGGTCGGCGGTTTTTCGTTAATAATTCAAAAACGAACCACCGTCCGACATTTTTGCAAAGGAAACTATGGTTCAGAATCGTCTCACCTACCATCTAGCTCCGATTCTTACACTAATCCTGAAACACCCAAATTAATTAATAAATTTAATATTCTGTTATTTCGTTACGCCCCATTTCCAATAAAGAGAATCTTTCCGAAATAAGGCTGAAAAGAAGCTTAAATAAGGCGCCATAAAAAAAACCAGGGAACTAATCGGTACACCTGACACCGAGCGTACCTTCAAAAGAACCGTAGTGAGAAGGACGAGGGAGAGAGGGAGGGAGGGGGGGGGGAGGGGAGATCGTAAATAATCCGGAGTAAGGCAAGAAAAGTTTAATCGCATCTTTTGCAACGCAACGGCTCCCAAGCTGGCGGTAAATGCTCGAAGAAGGGATGGGCGAACGGTTGAAGGATGAAGAGTGGGGGGGGGGCGGGGAGGCTGGGGGGCGTCCTCGTGACGACTTGATGAGATAACTTTGCTCGAGTTGTGAAACACAACGGGGGCGTCGCGCGATTCGTGACTTCGTGGGACGAGGGTGCAAGGAATCCGTGCCTCTTGCGCGCAAGAAAAGGGGTACGGGGCGGTGGGAGGAAGGGCGGGGGCGGGGGAGGGGGAGGACTGCGAACGGGGACGTAGGATAGAATTAAGGGTCACGCGACCCCCTCTCCGCGCTGTCGTTCTCGGGTGTACAAACCGGGGTAACACGGTGTTGTGCGTGATCCCCGTTTCGTGCTGATCGTCTTTTCGGAGCGGGGGACGGAAGTTCGACGTTAAAAATACTTGTTGAAGCGCGCTACGCAACTGGTTTTGCGATTCCTCGTCTTTGGGGAACGGTAGGAGGATGGCGAGGTAGAAATGGTAAGTGAGAGAGATTTTTCAAGGGGTTTACGGTAGTAAAATTCACAAGAAGTGTCTGAAAGATATGGTGGAGATGTCGACAAATAAACTTATTTTTTTGTATGAAAATAAAGCATCGTAAGAAAATTTTATTCCACATTTTCGATTCAATTTTTTACGTAGAATCGCCCGGGACACCCTGTATACATTATATATATACGTACATGAATTATAAACAAACAAAAATTTTTGTATTCAATAAAGTGTCTTTAATATTAGCCCTTTGTAAAAGTAGATTCAAATGTATCTCGTAAATGTAGGTATCCCTAGATCGTAGGTTTGGCGTTAAACCTACCTCCTATCCAAGCCCAACCTAAGGATCCCGTGCTCGTCGTCTTTTTTTCTGCTCTTCCGTTGGACGCGCGTTGGCCTGTTGTCCGATAACAACAACCAGTCAGCCCGCCAAGAATTACTCGGATGAGTGCGGATAAGAACCGTGCACGGCGCGGTAAGCCACAGTTTGCCGACAGCCTGGGAACCAGAGGGCTGCGCACGGCTTCCATGCGCCCTCCCCCCCCCCCTCTACCCCGCGGGACCAGCTACCTTAAATGATTAAGTCCCGGTTGTTGAAGAATCGCGTTCCAGCGAAAGGATGATACTGCACTGGCGAACCGCGAATCAGGTCCAATTTGTACACTCTATATAAGGGGGCTGGAAGTTACTAGGCTCAGCTATAAGGGGGCTAGAAGTTACTAGAATCAGCCATAGCGGGTCTAGAGGTTACTAGACTCAGTTATAAGGGGGCTGGAAATCACTAGACTCAGCCATAGGGGGGACTAGAGGGTTCTGAGCTCAGCTATAGGGGGGCTAGAGGGTACTGAGCTCAGCTATAAGGAGCTAAAGAGTACCGAGCTCCGATATAGGGAGCTAGAGTGTAATAAACTCAGTTATAGGGGGGTTAGAGGTTACTAAACTCAGCTATAGAGGGCTAGAAGTTAGCAGGCTCAGACAAAGGGGGGCTAGAGGGTACTGAGCTCAGCTATATTGCTACTTGGTACCCTAAACGCTAGGACCTCCCTTGCTATTCCATGGAGGAGAGAACAAGGCTTTGGAAAGTTAAACATCACTCAACCGAGAAAGAGAAACGTCGAATAATTCCATTAATTCCATATCCAAGTAGTACTATTAGATGATACGGCGAATACCGGATAATTTCCAGGCAGTTTACGAGCAATATTAGATCCACCATTGGAACAGAACGCTTCCGCGTACGGGCATCGTTCGGACGCTAGCCTCTTGTTAATATTTTACGTCAACCGTCCTCCCTTCTACGATCAAACGCTCCTCCTATTTTTTTTTTCCTCCTCGACTCAACACACCGCCCACCCACGCACTGCCTTTCCGCGGCGTTATTTAAATCGCAAATCGATACCACCGCCGCGGAAAACACAGTTACAGAGGGAACTGCCTCGGTCATGTAATGGGAGAGCAAGATGGATCCGATAGGGCTCTTAACAAATGGGAGGATCTAGCCTTCCGCGCCTGGCGTTGATCGTCAGATTCTTGGCGCATGAATCAGAAGTCGCGAAATTGCGGGTTTTACGTATTTATGGCATGTATTATTACAAGAATATATCGAGAATAAATCTAGAATAAATCAGACATGTGTGGAATGCAGCAACGACATTTCCCGCCATTTTCGTTCGCCATTACGCCCACTTGGAATTTTTCAAGTAGAACCGCTGCTAAATTAGTCTGAATTGAAAAGTGGCATTCTCGTGATCGCGATGCTTTCTTCGGAGAAAATCAGTATCGAGATACCACGACCATAATCTCCAACTTCACACGTTTGGCACTCGTAAGGTTATCTCTTCCAAATTTTCTTTACTCTATCGTGTAGTTCAATCAAGTATGGAGGTCCAACGAGGCATGGAAACCTCGGGACACGAGGGAATGTCGGATGAAGACGCAAATAAATTATTCGAGGAAATTTTGGAGGAAGACAATAAGGAGAGCACTTCGGAATCTTGCTCGTCGGATTGCATGCCAGGGCAGCCTGAGGTTCAAAATAAATAAAAAGAATTGTTAAGAAAGCTTTAAGAAAGAATTAATTTTCTATTTGTTTTTTTTTTTTTTTTTTTACTTCACCCTCTGTATTACTATGATCAGCCTGGACAATCATCCTGGAAATTGCCAAAATTTATAGTGCCAAGTGTAATTGCCAATACTAGAGACTAATCTCTATGTAGAAACGTATATGTTAGAAAATTCTCGTACCTCATTTAAATCAGTGTCGAACAGTTAAGACTGGATAAAGCAAGAAAACTGGGACCCAAACATAGCATTTATCCTGTCGAGGTTTATATTCTGTGTTTACATTTGGCTCGAGTCGAGCGTCGAACGTAGAAAAGAACAGAGAGCGAAAGAAAAAGAGGTCCGAGGAAAAATCCAGTCGGCAGAAGCGTATCAATCGTTTAGGATCATATTACGCTACTCGCTCCCCGAGCGTCAAGTCGTTCTTGCATTTATCCAGTCAATCCTGTCTTGGACTTAGTCTTTACTTGCATAATGTATCGCAATGATCTTTTACAGAAATTTTGTGAGTGCCTACGTCTAGCGGAGAACTCTTCCAGATTCTCGTTGCGCGTGATGGAGGCGATGCGATCGTTGCAGCGCGAAGAAGATGGACTCCTGCCGACCTCCACGCCGGACGATATCGTCGGTTATATCGAGGCGAACTATCGCGACGACGGTGACCTTTACGCTCAGGTGCGAACAGCGCTGAAACAGGTCTGTTCCCAAGGGTTAGTTCCACGTCAAGGTGAAAAGCGACGGAACAGCACCGTTGCAGGCGAAAATTGTGTCTCGCGTGAGACACGATCGCGTTTCAAGGCAACTGCAAACCGTTTATCTCGTTCGAAGACACGGGTTGCATCTATCGATTCCGTTTCCAGTTCCGACTGTTAATTGTAACGCTTCCACTCTGATGCAACCGGACTGCAACCGATGGAGAAATAACAGTTTTTATTTTCGAAGGGAACCGAGATATTCTTGCTGGAAATTCTAAAAGGCGTACAAGGGTGAATTTTAAAAAAAATATCAGCTTACAGGGAACGACGGGGCGGAACTTTTTTGTATTTACAGTTTATTCGTACGACGTTTAGTTCCAGAGATAAAAATTGAAAACATCAAAGCTCTTTTTCCTGAAATTCAATTTTTTGAAATGAACTTCTAACTTTTCAATTTTTATGTTCGAAGCTAAGCGTTCCATCAGTTGATTAAAATTGAGCTGTTTCGAGAATAATTGGTGCATCGGATGTATCCTCGAAGAAACTGTTGCAAAGTAGGATATCCTCCGGACGCGCGAGAGTCGCGTCCACTTTTGAGCTCACGGTGGCTTTCACCGGTCAGATTTTTGCGGTAGATAAGCCTGTGGGACTTGTAGGCGTAAATTATGCCTTCCTGGAGAAGTTTTACTGCAGCATTGCAGTCGTAGACACTTTCTCGGATTCTTGAAAAAGATAGAGAGATGATTTACACGCTAGAAACGTCGAATGATGCCAATAATATCGAACTTTCAATTTATTGTATTTCAAATGCTCTACAAGTGTATTCTAAGATGCAACAAATATACATAGTATACATTAAATGTATTTTGAAGAATAAGGAGTCGAACGACACACGAATCGAAGGGGACGGGATTAGTCGTGTAGATAAAGCGGTCGACTGTAGATCCGAGGATCGTGGGTTCGAATCTTCGTGCTCCTTATTTTTCGTTTAGACTCCTACACGTATTTATTATATTAGGTTGTCCAGAAAGTTCGTGGTAATTTCTAAGAAACATTCAAAAACACGTTTGAATTGTAATATATGTTTATTGAATTACATAGGTGCCATTTTGTTCCACGACCTTTGCACCTTTCAAGAGATGTATGCATGTTATTTGTTTTCAACCACTTCGATATATTCAGACCTGTACCACCTATCAAAAGTCGTCATGGACTTTCCGGACAACCCAATATTAATTTATATCATAAACGCATAAAATATTATTCCAGGTCAACCATTAACCCATTTTGCTCTAATTACAGATTCGTCATGGAACTGTTGGACAACGAGTACCACTTGGTGGGTCCTGCCGCCATCTCGATCAATCAAACGACGTCCCCTGAAAATCAAGGCAAGTGCCCCTTAGTAAGTTCAACGATAGATCCTCAAGAACGTCGAAAACTTGAAAATCCTGAAGGGAACAGCTGTGACTGTGAGTCGTCCACCACTGGAGAATCTGCACCTAAAAGGAAACGTCGAAGTCCAGAAACAAGGAACGCTGTTCAGAACTATGAAGAAGAAGATGGCTTTCTTAAAGATAATCCAGAGTGCTCCTGCAGTACGACTGACGAGAACGTAAGATGAAACTGTTTACTTTATTTACTTCATTTGTAAAACAATAATTTCATTCCCCAATAAAATTTCCGGGTGAAGATTAAATAATAAATAAATTGTGCACGTGTTTGCATATAGGTGGAACCATTTGACACGTTAAGAAGTACAGGAAGGAATGGAAGAGATGAAGTACACGAAGAGATGTATGTTGGGGCAGGAGGAAATCTTCCACTGAATATTTCACAGAGAAGAGGAACGAATGATCGAGGTAGAAAGGAAAGAACGAATGATCCAGGGAAGAGTAAACTAAATGCAACGACAGTGAGAGATAAGACGGTTGTTATTGATAAAGCTAGAGAGGATTCTCTGACAGATGAAACGGTATCTGACGTTCTGCACAATGTTCTCGAGAAGTCTCGAGGTCAGACTCGAGCCAAAATATCTGATCAACACAAAAAAGATCTGGAAAGGTGGATCCAACGTTGCCAAGAGGAATGCAAACGACGAGGCAAACGACGTTTTATGAATAAATAAATTTTTAATGAATTCTCAAGCAGTTACAGGCGTGAACATTTTGATTTATATCATCGAGTACTCTGGGAAATTTGTATAAGACGTTAAAATTAAAATATTCTTTGTAACTGTGTTTCATCTGGCTTTAAATTTAAGAAATGTATACATTATAAATATTTGAAGTGATGTGTGTATAAAAATAGTCCTGTGGTTAAATAAATATTTTCATCAATTAAAGTAGTATCACAACGACGTGTTTTTTTCTGTTCTTCTTTAGATTCATTCTTATTCGTCGAGAGGGTGACTTAACTTTAGGGATGAGGAAATCCTTAAAATCCTTCCAGTTCGATTAGTGGGGATTAAATATCCAGAATCAATGGCAAACGAGAGTGCCGTGCGAATAAATCTCCTTGCCTCGTTACACTCTAAGTCTAGAGATAAAATACATGAAGATTAAGTACGCTGACTTAAAAATTGAATTATAATTCATGACCCAACTGTGTGTTTTACAAGAATTGCATTTATAATTATTATTTTAAAAAATCTGCCTCAGGGTTCCTAATGGTGATTGGTGTCGCCATCTCGTGGTGAACATGCCGAACTAAAATTCGAAGTTTGGTCAGCGCCTCTATCGGGAAAACGCCCAAGTTTGTCCTCGAATAGTTCCCCCTGTCAACGTTAGATGGCGCCATTTGTTTGTTCAAAAAAATAATAAAGGATTCAAGGGCTCCAAAATAATTCTCATATTTAATAATTATAATTAATAATTATATTAATATAAACAAATAGCGCCATCTAGCGTTGACAATGGGAACTAATCGAGGACAAACTTGAGCGTTTTCCCGACAGAGGCGCTGATCAAACTTCGAATTATAGTTCGCCTTATTCACAACTAGGTGGCGATTAACATGAAAGAGAAAAATTCTCAACATATTAATTAATTAATAATTGTTCCTCATGCTCTTTATCAATAATTTACTCTCAATCATTTAAAACCATCTAAAATTGTCATTTTCATCAACTACATTCTTTTTCCCTATTGCTAGTTTCAATTTCATTTGCCTCTTTTATATTTGTACCTGCGTTTGTACGAAATAACTTATGCTTGGGATGAATGATTTTCTTTCTTCTGTTCGTTCTTTGAAATTTATTGCAAGCATTATTACGTTGTTTTCGAACGCTATCCGAATACGACATCTTCCTTAAATATTTATACACCAATTCGGACACGGTTGATCTTTGGTTTTGTCGTTCAGGATGTTCCCGAGTTGCTAATCTATTTACCAGTTTGATTTATTGCTTTATTAATATACAAAGAATTATAAAAGAAAAAAAAAAGATGAATAAATAGTATAAGATATCCACATGTATACAATTTTTAAATTAAATAATACTATAGGCAATTTTGAAAGGAAGTAAAAATAATAGTTTGATCATACTTCATCGTTTCATTAAATTACAAAAGAACAAATATAGTTAACCAATGGTTAACTAATTTATTAATTGATAAACTTACCTGACTTCCTGTGTCTTTATTCTTCCCTTTCTTACAGTTTCATTCTTACAACCTCTGCTTCTCGGTATCATCTTGCATATTTTATAATATTTACTTGATCGAAAAATAAAACATATAGAAGGAAGGATTTTTTTTTATGGGATGTTCTAATTTAATCATTTCTTTAGAAAAAATAGAATAATTTTATTCAGGAATAATTCAATAATATACTTATACAAAAATATTAAATAACACAGTCATCAATTTCTAAACATTATTGACAGTATATAGTTGAATAGTAAGCCACGAGTAGCGCTGTTGCAACAGTAACAATAGTAGTTTACATCATGGTGGTATTGTAACTGTCAACACCAATTAATCAAGAGAATAATGTCTCATACGGTAATATTTCATCGTATTCGACAAAAATATTTTTTATTTTTTGTTCCCGCTGTTTATCCCATTTTTGCTCGTGTTAATATACATGCTTCATTATATTAACGAGACGTGATTAAAGTTTCAACAGCTTGACATTTCAACTTCAAGGTTCACCTAAATCATCAACCTCGAATCTATTGACTTTTTTAGACATTGCGATAGCGACACGTAAATGCAATAACATAAATATGATTTGTAAATATTTACCAAGTCTCTCACAATCTTATAAACAAATCCTTTATAATTTATATAATAAATATTATTATAAGAACGCGACTAAGTAGACTCTTCTACCTTTCTTATGCTTATTGTACATTACTTGTTTCAGGGAGCAATTAAAAAGGTTTCAATCACTAAAAATGCGCACCAATCCACCAAGTCCAAATCAAGAAGTTCCTCTTCTACCAAAGAGTCGGAAAGCTCTGAAAAGTTGGACTTGAAATTGGTGAAAAAGTCTGCACACTCTGAAAGAAGGGGTGAAGGTGATAGACATTCAAGACTAGTACAAAATGTGAGTTCTGATAGAGGAACTACAAAAAGATCAACCGCACTGTCTCAAAATAAATCTGTTAGAGAAAGTTCATCCTCCACATCAAAATTAAATATCAGTTCCAAAACATCTGTAACATCTAAAACAGCATCTGATCCTACAAGAAAATTAAGCAGGAGTGATGGAACAAAAAGTAGTAAATCATCTGGAAGAATACAAAGCAGTTATTCAGAGAAGAGGGGATTAACCACAGTCTTTGTGCCGTCATCTGTTACAAACAAACTTAACAGTAAATCAGTTAATAAGGAGACGTACTCTGTATTAAAAGAAAAAGCGATGGCAAGGACAAATCCAAGCGCATCAGATAAAAGTGATTCAAAAATGAAGTCTAGACATCGCAAATTATCTAGAACATTGAGTCCAAGCGAAGTGAGAGTATTACACTCTGCCAAACCAAGATCAGATTCTTTGCAAAAGGATCAGAATAATAAAAATAAATCAGAAATGTCTCAGATAGAAAACGAATACGATTACGAAGATGACTTTGAGGTAAGATATTGGTAATAAAATGGAATACTGTCTGTGCAAGATTTAATAAACTCGAGATATTTTTCAGGACTATGAATCTGATTTTCAAGAATGCACAGATAGTGAAACATCAGAAGTGAGCGAAGAATCGAGCAGCAGTCATAATAATTTACCACCATTGGATCCTATCGAATTGCACACTACAAAACAGGTATTATTATTTGCTTTATCATAGCAATATTTTATTTTAAATTTTAATTTTACCGCAGCGCAAAGTAGTGAATAACGCTGAACAGCAAAAGGAAGAAGAGCATATGCACGATTCTGGTCATTACGAACTCGCAGAAGCTAGGAGAAGAGCGGCAAGAGTAGAAGCAATTGTGAATGACCCGAAGCTGGCTTCTCTTATCGAATTAAAACAACCAGTTAACAAAGCATTTAGGTTTGTCCTAAGCAAAATCAAATTCCAAGATGATTAAACAGCTTTTTCTGTACCATTTGTATCGTTTCATTATTAAATGCTTACACAATTGCTGGATGGTTATTGGTGTAGTGTTTTAATAAGAATTTGAAGTACTTCTTTTATGATACAGTGAAGACAGATTATCCGAAAGTAAATCATTACCACTGTCTACCGATGAAGGTTTCGAAGATAGCCGTTCAGGCGATTTCACAAAATCGCCGCCGCTTTCACAGATCTCATTTATCGACTTTCGCAAGACCAAAGAGAATCAAAGAGCAAAGGTAATACGTGTTCGATAAATGTATTTTATATCGCTATCTATAACTGTTATATGCTTTTAGAAATCCAAGAAAAGTCTAAGCAGAGGCGAAGAACTTTTGGAAATGATAAAACTAGATGTCATGGAATGGTCCCTTCTGGAATGTTCGCCTATACCGTACGAAGAATTTATTAGAAACTATGGAAAATTAAATACTCAACAAGTACGAGTAGTACCTAATAATAGCAATGCTTTAATAATAATAATTAGTTTTTAACTACCGTGTTTAATATTACAGATATCTACACAGACTGGCGAAGATAACATCGACGTAGAAACACAAACGGACAAAATTATGTTTAAGAATAAGTGGACACAGTTTCCAATCACTTGTAGAAGCAATTTACAAACTAAAGAAGATTTGAATTTATTTCAAATGGTATATACAATCACCCTAATATTTAAATAGAAGATGAGGCATTTAAGACATTACACCTGAATAAATATTAAAACTTGTAGGATCAAATCGGCGTTGGTGATGATAATGAGGAAGAAACTATGAACTTTTTACCACGACCAACTTTTGATGTACTAAGATTAAGCGACTTCTTAGGTCGCGCTGGAAGAATAATGTTATCGCTGTTAGAGGAAAGAAGATCTGGTGGAAATTTATTTAAAAACGAAGAACAAGTACCCTTCAGCGACGGCGTCGTGAAGCTTTCTGTAAATTCGGTAACATTTCTGGCTGGCAAAGCAGTAACGATAATTCATTATTCAGAAGTTCTGAACAAGGTGTTAGTGACTATTCACGCTTCGACTGAAGAGGTAAGGACTAGTTATATATATATCGAAGAACTATGTCCAATTTTACGATTATATTTGAAACAGGAAATTGAGACTTCTAACAAACAAGACTACATAACTGACTGTTGCATTGGATGTATCTGGAGTATTTCTGAACCATCGATGCCGATGAAATTATTTTACTCAACCTGTCCTATCACCGCTTGTTGTTTCCATTTAACGAATTACAATGTTGTATTTGCTGGCCTGCAAGATGGGTATATCTTTTGCTTTTAACAAATATTTTAAATAACAGCTCGATAAGTATTAACAAATATTTTAAATAACAGCTCGATAAGTCTGTGGGATTTAAAGGAAGATGAAATGTGGCACCAGAAAATGACCGATACAGCCAACGAACTGAATTGGACGATACGAACGCCTACTTACACGACAGCTGCAAACATAGAATCAAACATACACGATTCACCAATCGTTACGATACGCATACTGTCTAAGATTGAAGAAAAATCGTTAGAACGATGTAACAATAAATTTGTACCCATTCAGGTTTGTTGGAATTTTTCGTGTTATACTGTTTTATGAATTGATGCTAACAATGTTTGAATTATTGATATTTTGTATTACCTAACATAATAGATATGTAGCTTAAATGAAAAAGGTTCTCTTATAATATGGAGCGTTTTACACAGCATGGGAATAAATGTCGACGATTTAGGGCTGTCGTATTGGGGTAGTATAAGGCTCGTTAAAAGTCAAGAACTTCTTTTGCAATCTGATACTCTTAAAAAGTAAATATTGTATAACAATTTGTATACCGTGCACCGAGTAACGATCCTCATCGAATTCTTTTACCACTTTAGAAGGATCGATGCGGCTGCATTTATCGATATGCATGTGGATTGCGTTGATAGTAATAATCTTTATATCGCAACTAACGGTAGCACCGTTTTGCATGCTACTTGTATTGGTAACAAAGCTAGTCCTGCCATGTACAAAAAATTGGGTACTAGTAAGTCATTACAACACTTTCACAAGTTCCAAGTTACATATCATTAACTCATCGTACTTAATATATTTCAGGTGCCTGTGGAAACGTAACTTGTATAGAAATGTGCCCATTTGATCAATCTTTCTTTTTGGTAAGATTTTCTTTCTAAGATTGATGTTTTGTAACAAATAATATCTTTCATTAATTCTTTTTATCGTAGGTTGGTTGCGACGATGGTACACTTCGATTGCATTCCTTGAATACTGAGAAACCGATTTTACAATTGAGGGATGAAGACAATATACATGCGATTAAGTCGGTGCAGTGGTCAAAGTCAAAACCATTTACAATTTTCGTACTGGACAATAATTCGCGGTAAGTGGAGTCAACGCTAATTGAGAAAATGTGTATAAAAAGAAAATGAACTCAACTTTTTTGAATACTGGTATTTTAGAATACATATATGGGATTTAACTAACAGTGATATTTACTCGACGTATTCTGTGAGTATGCAAAAATGCGGATTTATAAATAGTATGCAGCTATCGTCCTGTAAAACCGAACGAGACATGTCTCATCAATATCTGGTACATTAAATGTCTTGTATATTGTAATGTAAAAATACATATATGTATATGTATTTTTAACTTATATATTTGACTTATTTTTCAGGCCCTAGGGACGGAATCAGGGAACGTAGAAATACATAAATTAAAAGCGAATTTTTGTTACTCGAAAAAAGAAGATTACTTGCAGGAATTGAACACTTTCATGCGATACGTCGCAATTTTATAACTGAACTAAAATCGTTAATGAAAAACACTCGAAGGAATTGAATTTGTTTGTACTTCCAATGATTTTATATGTTGACTTTTTATGTTAGTTAAAGACAATCTTTTCAACACAATAATAGAATTGTAATATTCTCATTAATATTATGGAACTGCAAAGTACAAGGAAATCTTAGAAGGTGTACTGATCTGTTTAAAAGTATTTCAGAAGTATATAATTTGCAATAAACCCATTAACTTAATGAGTTGAAACACCAGATATGTACAAAATAACTACTATTTATTGCACGTTATTCACATTCACAAACATGAATCCGTCCATGAATTGTATACAAACGATGATTTTATAATATAAAGAAATATATAAATTCTATTCAGAAAAATCTTGCTGCATAACAAACTTTTATTACATCGAATATCGCTATATTCAGATATTGTGTGTACAAATCTTTATACAATGTTAAAATGATAAAAGAACATTCATCATTAAATATATACTAATTTACTCGAAACATAAACTGTAACAAATACAAAAATCATATTACCATAATGAAGATTGAAATTTCTTACGCTGCCACAGGTGGGTTGTTTAATAATATCATTGACAATGTCATTGTAACTACGTACATGTTGCATCTGGTGAGCATCAACTTGCAGATGTTGCGTTTCATCCTGTAAAAAGAACATTCATAATTTTTTAATGCAATGCTTTTGTTTCTTTATTGATTACTATCATTCAAAATTGATGTTTGATAATATTTTTCTGTATCTGTATCATAGATTGATTTAATGAATGTCAACAAATAACAAATTTACTACATAATTTGCATTTCTTTATAGTATATTGTGTTAAAAAAAATTTCAAAAGAAATTTTAATTTTATGATGTGCGATTATTGCTCTTGGATCGATCAGATTTTGGCGAGGATCAGCACCGAGGTCAAATCGGAGAAAAAGAAACCACGCGTGCATGTGGATCCAGTTATAGTAGTACACGGAGGCGCGGGCAAAATTCCACGGAAGAAACGCGATCGAATGCTTTTTGAGGTTAGGAAAATTTTCTTTAAAATACTATTATACAAGTATTGAGGATCTCTATGCATTTATAAGAAATTTGAATATACAAGAAAGTACAAAATGCACAGAATATGCAAGAGTATAAAAATACATTGAAAGTGAAGTTCATATCGTAATATTTGCAAAGCAAAATGAATTCCTAAGTTAGGTTCAATTTTTGTAGGTACATTCGAAAATATTTTATTTTGCACAAAGATCTACAGTCTAACGATAAGAATCGATTTATCGATGAAATAATTTAGTTTATAAACATTCATTATGATGACCTAGTTAGAGTTATCATTCAGAGGATCGTAAGAATCCTGTATTTTTTGTTGTACAATTTGATGTCAATTTCATTACATCCACAATTTTCGAAGCTAGAATGCTCGTGCATTTAGATTTCTGGATATAAGAATAAAGAAAGAATTCACGTTCCTGTATAGGTTAAAAATGCAGCAGTCGAAGCCTACAGCGATCTTATCAACGGCCGATCAGCAGTGCACGCAGTCGAAAGAGCAATTTCTTACATGGAGAGCAAACCGTATTTCAATTGCGCGAAAGGAGGTTCTTTAGACGTTAACGACGAAGTAGTTACGGACGCCGGTCTCGTTACGATAAACGACGCTGGATTTGTGGGTGCTGTTCGCGACATAGAACATCCCATCGCCCTAGGTTCGTTCTAAACAGTGATTCTTAGCGACTTGCGACTTTTGTAGCGACTTGGAAACATTCCTCGTTACTCAACGATACACAGTGAGAGCATAGTACGAATTCGTAAATACCCTGTCGAAAGGAAGCTAGATTTATGTTTCTCGTAAAAGTATAAAGTGTATCGTTGACTACGCTTCGCTGTATGAGACTTTTTATGACACAAGTGGACAATTCGACACGATTGAACATTCATCCGCTACGAAAATTATGACTCTGTACTAAACTCTACTCCTAATTCGAAAAAAATCGCCCACAGCGAGGAAAGTTTTGGAAAACACGGAGCACATTCTGATCGTCGAAAACGGAGCTCAGAAGTTCGCCTTGGACAACGGAATACCAATTTTACCGCCTGGTACTTTAAACGAGTACGAATCCGTGTCGTCGCATTATTTAGGCGAGGAAGGCTTCGAATACTGTACCGATCGTAAGAGTTTAACGAACGTAAGGGACTGTAATGAAAACGAACAAACGAAAGAATGCGATTCTGATTGCGTCCTAATAAGATCCGACGATGGAGAAGAAGCTAATCCTTACTGCGCGTTATCTATCGACTCCGACGATTTGCTGAACGAACCGACTGGTTTACAGGTTTGTTTTATTTTTCAGATGCTTTCTGAAGTGATAAAAGTGAGAAATGAAAATAAGTGATGAACGTTTGAATACTGTAATAATAATAAGCAGTATGCATTGGTCAGCACCACGCTGTAAGGTGCA